AGAGGTGGCGAAATCATTGTTGCGCATTCATCTGCGTTGACATCGTGTTTCGCTCTGAGGTATGGTAACATAATTGAAACAGCAATTCAATATTTGGAAGTCTTGAAATCTAGTAAAATGAAAAGTATCATGAGAGTTAATCAGCCTAAAACTGTGGGCAGTTAGACTGAAGGGACTTCTCCCGAGGCCACCTGGGTACAGACGGTACGTTGACCATGATACAACAATTCAGGGCCTAGTTTTTGTTAGTTCGACTGGATATTGATTCTGTTGTGTTGTGAACTATAGCCAGTTGAGATGAAGCCTTAGGCTTTATCAACCTAGTAGCCGCCACTGAGTGAGATTTTCTCTTTTTTCAGATTATTTGTAACAGTTTCGGGATGTTTCTTGATGTACAGGGGAGGCAGTCTAAATTTGCATGCTTTCTGGTTTAACATTAAACGTAGAATTTTCTTGCATTTTGATGGTGTTTCTCCGTGATATTTGCGATACGTCTTCGTAACCAAGAAAATAGACTTGGACTTGTGTGGAGCTCATTTTTTGCCTCTTAATATAGTTTAGAAAGCAGACTCAGATGCAAATCCCAGGGTTCTCTGACATAAAATTTTCCTCATGTATTACAGAAGCGAGCCTTGCATTCGGGCCACTTGGTAAACTAATGGTTAATAAAGGGTGATAACGTGGTATGAACAGTGCCTGGTAACTGTCTAATACGTCTTTGTATTTACGAACATTCTTTTAAGAATTTCGCCCCCTGAATTTCAATGGTGATTCATCATAAAGCAATGTATTTATTCGAAAACTTAAGAATTTATCACCGTTTTATAACTTACTTTGGTGAAACATTGGCTTTAACATCTCTACCGTTCGCTACAGTGCAACAGTGCTTGTTTCATATTTCCGTGATTTGAGCTGAACTCACCACATCTCTACTTAACTTGTTAGTCGCATGCCCTTTATTCACATTTTGAGTTTATTTCGTAACTCTTTTGCCATTGTATCCAAGTGTGTATTGCGTTTAAACTTGAGCTTTCTGAGCATAAGCCATATAAGTGTAATTTCTTGGTACTATCTATTAAATATGGAGTAACCTGTCAAGTGACGCTATATAACATTTATAGCTTTGTTAAAGGTATTCTATAAACAGACTTAATAATTTCTTCAGCATGTACGCAGCTTATGAGGAGCCGGTAGATCAAATGATGGTAATGTTGTGGTGACAGATGGCTGCTAGCCGGATTGGTAGACAGTAATTGACGTCAATGTTTATGGCTCAAATATTAGTCATGTGAAAACAAGGTCAAAGATGGAGAGCAGACTTTACGTAGGTGGGTGAAATTAGCAGATAGATGATCTGACACTCAAGAAACAGCAACAAAGAGATGAAAGATTAACTTTTAGTGAGAAACAACCAATCAGAAAAATGTGTTTATCAGCTAACAATTATTTATAATAATATACACGAAACTCTACAAATATGTGTTGATCTCATTAATAAACGATCTGTTGCCTGGCCCTTGTCTTCTGTTGTTACAGTGTCAAATGCTGTATGAATCACTGTTTTCGCCTTATTCAAATGCTAAGTGGTCGTTCACATTGCGAGCATGACTTCCAGCTGAGTACATTAAATCACGTAGCCCGAACATAGGTGCAACTTTGAAGTGGAAAACCAGTACGAAATTCATAAATTTTTCAGGAATTAAATAGGACAGCATCCCACATTCAAATACACTACCCCATATGTTATAATTTCAATCAGAATCTGATTCCTTTACTCATAGGATTCCTCGGGATTTCTAACATTACGACAACCTTTTGAGCCTCAGATGTATTGCATCCAGAGAGATTACATTTGGAGTGTTGTACACTGTATATGTGACTTTTCTATCATACATATATGTTCAGTATACACTGCTTTTCCTGCATTTACACAGATGGTTTACACGAGTATGCACAAGTGTCACGAGTTCCAGGTCATGTGAATTCTTTTCATTTCCTTGTTTGTCAAGAGACCAGGTAGACTTGCATGTGGCTACCAACAACCTTCTGAGCTAATGTGGATCCTCAGAGTATGCCAGTTTGCTTCAGCTGCTTCAAAGACTAGATATGCGTCCGTGGGTGTTTCCACCATGTACTACATGCCTATAATTTTTACATGAAACACATTCTCAAGTATCCTCCTGCACGATAAATGCCTTCAGGCCTAGAGACACTTTTTGACGACTATTCTTAACAAAATCAACACAGTTCAAGCCAAATAAAAACCAGAATCATGTCAAATGCAGCTACCCAGATCAAACGAAACAAATCAGCCAAACTCAAATCAACTAGACCGCGCAGATGTCCTCAAGGTAAAGCTGCAGGCGCCATATCAACGCCCCTATTCATTCGACACTTTACACGCGGGAAGGTCAACTTACAGACAGCAGTGGCACCATTAATTTCCTAGAAGACTAACTGCTTGTAATGCTATAGGGACTAAGTCCCATATTAACGTGGTTACCAGTTTGTCTCTAGTTACGCCTACATCTGTTCTAAAACCAATTTAGGTGGATCACATGGTGAGAATATATAATAACACTAAACCTCATAGCGGCAAATCTTTTATCCTATTTTTGAACAAATTGGGGACAAACATATATTCAGACTAAAAACAACTCTTTTCAACAGCTTTGGGTCAACTGCCGACCACCTCAAAATGACAAGTTATCATTAATGTAAGTGTTAACATACCAAGAAAATTAATTCAACTCTAAGGACATCATTGTGGAACAAGAGGTGTGAATACAAGACAGTTTCGTAGTAACCAAAGTTTATTTATGCATTATATGATGGAAAGTTAGAGTGAAGGGGATGGAGGTAAAAAGATACGGTAAGCAAGGGTAAAATGAATACGTAACGAGCATCTTAAAAAATCGGAAGATTATTAATAGGTTCAGCTCAATTAGCTGTAATAAAGATTTGTGGCCTAATATAAAGCACAAAAACAGAAAATAAACGTGTAGTTACCAGGGTGGCTAGAGGGCAGGTTTACTATCCTTCTGTATAAAGAGCTTTTTCAACCTGCAAGTATGTGAGTTGGTGGCACAGTGGTTAGGACTGTCGCCGACCATGTACATGGTCCGGAGTTCGATCCCCTGCCGACGCACACCCGATATCAATGGTCGGCCTGCTAAATTTGGACTACCGATATCCATGCTGAAAATTCCATACTTGTACCAAAAATACGGTGTGGAATCAAGCTATAATCAAAATAAAAAATTTTAAATGTTTGTTCTCACTTCGTCCAAATCAATCAATAGGATTCCTCTGTAGGCTATTCTGTTTTCCACTAAAAAAATACTTCCAAACCATAACGCTGTTTGGGTAATTTAACAGTACCATCCAACAAATCGGCAGATAAGCAGTTGGAAGAATTTTTGACAATGCACGGCTTTTCACCTCCATAACGTTTGTTGTCCTCCCACAAGTAATCAACATTCTCGAATCAGATTAATGGATGCCGTTACAAAGTTTGAACACTATTGCACAATCAATATTTTAATACCACAGGTCACTTTTGTTCACCCAACTTTACTTTATAGGTCCTCATACTATTCATTCAGCGGTAGTCAAATTGTGAATAGCTTCGTGGAGTGGTCAAAACAGATTAATAAGATTAAGCAGTGCAAATGAAAGCCTATTTTAATTGTCTTTCTTCTGCTCAGATTAATAGGAATATTTCTGTTCAATAAAATTTGGATGAATAAGTGATCGTTAAAACTTTCACAAGAATATGCGGCTCCGAAATAGTTCCCAGCATGGGTTTATCCTATATTTACCTAAACAGCATAAATAAGGACTCATTGGAAAACCTATTAGACCCTTCAATCTGGAGTTTAGTATTTGAGATTTAATATATCAGCTAATTCCTGTCGACACCTGTACGAACAATCTTGTATGGAGAATGCAGTTGCCATTTTTATTTTCCAAATGACATTTAATGGTGCGAAATTACTGGTTGAGGTGGTTATTTTTTACCAAATTTTAACCTTCGGATTGTCCAACATCTCATAATATTATTCTTGTTTACTACCACGCGCTCTGCTTCTGAAGTGAGTGAATTCTTCCAATAGACACAGATACGAATGTTTCCGGATTTCCAAAGCGCGGACAGCATTATTGCTTTTATCCCTTTGAGGAAGGCTATCTCATGGGCGGTTTATTGGAGTGTTTGCGTTGCAGCTGTATGTAGTGATGCGTTCATTCGTTTGTCGATAGACAGCATGGTTGGGAGGTTCTTTAATGATCTGATATCCATAATTGTGGATATCAACAAAGATAATAGCTTTTATGACCATCAATATGAGGCTATTAAGATTGTCAAGGCAGAAACAGATGAACTTCACGATAGTTTACGTAAATTGAGCTGGTTTTACCATCACTTGAGGACAAAAATTCTTTTTCATAAAGTATCTTCCGCTCACACAGTGAATCATCGTGGAGTTCGGTATTTCTCACTGGGATATTTTAAATTCAAGATGCCCACTAGTTCAATGCAACGTAATTATATTGAGTTCTTTAGATTATTGGAGAAAAATCCTCTGCTTATTGCTGAATTGTTGCATTATTACAAATTAAACATTCAGATCTTAGAACATATCGCGCGTTCTGTTTGCTTGGTTACTTGCACTTATCCTCTGAACTCATGCAACCAATTGGTTCAACTCGCAATTGCTCACTATCTGCAGCAGTGCCTAAATGTTGTGAAATGTGCAGTTTACTCCAAGTCAGAGATTTTAAACTTAGTACATTTATTCATATTTTGTTCCACTGGGGTTCGGTCGTTTTTAAACTCACTTCTGCAAAACATAATCTTCAGGCTTACCAACAATGATCCGTGCTTACCGTTTAATATTCTCGAATCCTCTCGAGAGAAAATGAAAACTAACACTGATTCCTCAGTTCCAAGTTTTTTTGCGATTCTTGTCAATATCATTATTGATAGTTTGACAGATAACATGCTACTGTTTCCTCAATCAGTTCTTGTTCTACTGGGCAATATACGTCATATTTGGTCTAATGCCAAATTACCACAAGAAAATATTTTGTGTGCCTGTGTACAATTTGTCTTCAAGGATTTCATTGGGTCTGCTTTTGGTGAGCCTGAACTATTCAATATCACCCTTGATGTTATTCCATTTCGCAGGATATTCCGGGTTCTAAAAGAAACAGTTGAAGTACGTTTCATTTGTTCATGCAAATTAGTGTGATATTTATTCTAGAGGCTTAATAGTTGAAAGATTTTTAGTAAATATGGGTAAATGAGCTCATCGCAGGTAGATAAAGAGGCATTTTTTGCACAATGGTTTATTAATAAACTGTCTAATTAAAAATTTAAATGATTTTGAGATTCCCCATTATCGTAATCTTATCTAATAAATGAATGTCCAGGGTTAAAGGGTGTATGAAGACGCGTTTGATTGCGATATAGTCTATGCACTGAGTTGATTTCAGTTAAGGAAACATGAAAACTGGAAAAACTGGGACTTCGTTTTGTCACAGTCTGGAACTCCAATAGTGTGCATTAAATATCTCCTAAGAGACCATCTCAGTGCTCATAGATTATTACTAATTTTTCACGTGCTTTTACGATCGTCTTCTCAGGCGTGTTATATATAGCCCCTAAATGAAGTGAGAAGACTAGATATTCGTGATACTTTATCTTAGCATTCTTTTCACAGTCAGACGCTACCGAATAAAGGTGAATACTGTTGTTAAGCTAGAAAATGTGAGGAACGTCAGACAGTAGTAACTTTCTGTTTTGGAGTATATTTCAAAGCGATAATGTAGTCGGTACATCTTGCTCGAATCTCACGCTATAGTTTTTCATTTTTCTGAAGTGTAATCAAGCATTTGATAACTATAGGACTCAAATTTTATCAAAAGCGTGTTAGTTGAGCTTAAGTATCCTTTGTAATCCCAGAAACATGTTTTAGCCTATGAATTGGAACAGTCACCGAACATTGACTTTTAGCGTAAGTGATCTTATTAGCGATTTTTGATCACCACCAGTGAGTGCTTTTGATCCTAATCTTGAGACAATCTGCTCAGCTGATGAGCTGTAAAACATGTTTATCCCATTAGGGTGAACAGTTAATGATCAGAAATGAGAGTGCAGTTTTGGGCTAGATGATGTGTTGGTGTCTCGACAGTTTATTTGAAGCCTGCATTCCTAGTGGTAATATTAATAAGCATACCTCCCATTGAGTGATTCCTTTCATCAAGTTTAATTGGCTACCGATCATTATACATATTTTTTTCATCTATTTCACTTCAGTCATTTCCTATCACTCCAGGTAGAGTATCTAATCAAACCGAGAATACAGATTTTTGTTTCCCAGTGATTTTAAGCCCAATCAAAGTGGTTTGTCTACTGTCATTCTGTGGAAGTTTCGGAGATTCAGTGCATTCTGGTTTCTGATTTCATTTTGCTAAATGCCTTTAGGGCTATTTCCATAATGATCCAGATATGCCAGCAAGTTGAAAATCTGTATCATGTTTTGGTGTATCACTCTAGTATTCAGTTAGAGACATGCAGTTCTCATTATTAAACTCAATATGAAGGCTTTTCAGATATACAGTTTCACGTCTACTGAGGTGCAAATACATGTATATTTCAATCTTTACTCTATAACGCGTTCCAATGATGTTGCATCCTATGGTAATCCACTTACGCCCTTGGCATTATCAGGTGTCTTCATAGTGTGATTTTGGAGTGAAGCTAAAAGTGATACTCAATATCAATGATTCATAGTTAGCTGTCTTTCTGTATCGACACTGTATTAAAGGTTTCTATCAATGTGACTGTACAGAAATTCGCACGTTGACGAAAAGAGCAAAAACTTCAAAGAAACCTATCGACCATGCTTTTCAGATTGCATTGGCGAGATCATAGAGTGTGATTGTTAATAATCATGTTGAAATATCCTGGTACCTGGTTATCTTTGCAAAAAATGGTCATTGTTATTTGATAGCGTCAGAAAAATTGTACTGAAAAAGCTCCGTATCCAGAAAGCGTTGACACTAAGCGAAATGTATACTTTGTAAAGGTTGTTTATTTCAATGTCACCTTTCTGTAATAAGAATATCATTTTAAGAGCATTCGTCACTCTTGTTAAATCAACAATTTAATTTCAGTCAGTCATAAGCATATATGTTTAGATATTCTGTTGCTTTTTATGACAAACTTCATTTCGGAAATAAAGACTAGTGTATATCCTGCTAACTGTGTCCATGTGTTTCATGAGTCTTCTTTGTATCGCAGCATTGGTTTTAAACACCGTATGTGTTTATACATATAAAAGCATATTACTTAAAAGAACTAAAGCAGTAAAAGTCTTATATAGGAACTGTCAATATAACATAGTAGGAATAAGAAGTGATCCTGCTGTGAAGCGAAATTTGATTATGGAAAGGTCAATTATCATGAAAATTTATGATGTATCTGTTTCCTCTGAACCGTTTTATTTTATGCATTTGTCACAACTTATTTTTTAAGTTTTCACAACATATTCTTGTATAATTCGATTTTGTTTCATTGGATTTTAGATTTTTCCTTCATTACTACTCGAGGGTGATAACTCTGTGTTATCCAATATTGTAGCTAGTCAAAAAAGCTCAACAAGTAAATGCGATGATTGTGCACAGATTAAAGTTGAACAGATAAAAACATTCACCAAGTTCATATTTGGTGCTGCTGATTCCATGTCCTTTTCGGGTAGTTTGCTAGGAGAGCAATCTGAGAATGTGTCACTCAATAAGAATATTTCTCAGTTTGATGAGTTAAATGACGACATTTCAACGAGTTCATTTAACGATGGTGTCATTTCCGTAACCTCTAATGATTTGAATATTTTGGTAAGTAATTTACTACTACTAGAGAGTTTTTCTCCCACACTTCCCATCTGTTAACTGTTGACTTTAAAGCTGTGTAATTTGTTTGTATCTCTCTGTAAACATCCTTAAGCTATTTCATATATCACGATTATGAAGTATTTACTGATGCTATACTGTTCACTACTATCATCGTATAATAGGTATGCATGATTGTGGAAATCTGTGATTGCGAGCATAATTATGTTTCAGATAACTTGAGATAGTTCTCACTGATTGAATTCCTACATTTGTGTGTGTGTGTGTGTGTGTGTGTGTAGTATTTAAACAAGCTGTCAGCTTAAATTTACTGCTTAGATTAAACTCACTATTTCCCTTCCAGTTTACTTATCTACCTAAATATTTTCTTAAGGTCTGTCGGATTTTTACTGTATATGTTCCACGAGCATTTAACTCAGTGTTTGAATGTTAAGTTACATTTAGTGAACCACATGGGAATTCCCGATATTTCTCGTCATGGTGATAATTGGTATTACATTCTTTCTAACAGAGAATTTCACAAATATTTTTCTCAGTAGAATGATGATATATGTGGATTCAAAAAATGTGTTATTTCTAACTTTATTAGTCTTCTTATCACTACAGCATACTATATAATCGTTAGTAGAACAGTTTTCGTAGACTTTTCATCATATCATGAAAGTTTTGATGCTAAAAAGCTTTAAGGAACAGGCTTTTAAATAAACGAATCCAGTCTAGTTCTCACATAGATATAGTGCACCAAGTGTTATCAAGAGTTCATTATTTTTCGGTAGGTTTGTGGAAAGGAAGAATAAAAAAAGGTGAACCTTATTGCTTTAAATAAATCCATTTACTTCTAAGGTTTATGCTCATAGTTTTCTCCAGTTAAGGACATTGTGAGTCTGCATTTGTTGTTAGTAACTCTTAGGTGAATTGATCATACAAAGCTCATAAACTATTATGATAATTACTAGACAAATTAAGTTTAGACATTACTAGTCTTCGTAGTTCAATACCTCGATAGGTATTCTATTCTTTATTTGACTAGTGAGCTTCAGTTTCTCCTTCTTTTTTGTTACTTGTATTCTTTTACTAATTAATACCAGAGTTATTTATATCGTGCAGTTAAATATACAATGACGTTTCAATTTTGTTACTATTTAGAATTTTTTTGAAGTGATTTTTTATTCATTATTCTAATTAACACTGAGACTCTTGAAAAGAAGCAGAGAATAGGAAAGTGAATCACATGAATGGATTATTTTTATAGATGAAATTCTTTAAAAAAAAAACACTTATTTTGTCGTTTTTTTTTTCAATGACCTTATTTGTATCCTTTAAGTATTGTCCAACTTCTTAATGTAGTTCTACTCGTTTCACTGCGAAGCTTATTATTCACTCTCTTGTCTGAATGCCTTTGTGTAGTATTTATTATTCCCAGGTGTTAGAAAAGTACATCTACAGGAACCTGGTAATCTAAGTTTCTTACTTCCTGTTACTCATCAGATGGCTGTATTTATATACAGTTTTCTAATTTAATTAAGTGCTAACTACACCTTTTACGCAGCATCACAGACTAACACGAAGGATTGCAATATCAGTAGTGTTGTGCTATTACAATAAGCGGAATTTAGATATTCCATCAAACGTTTAGTAGCAGTAGTAGTACTGTGGTATTAGACGCATTGTGTGTAAATCCACAATTTAGTTAGTTTATATATTTATGAATCAAACTCAGATATACAGCATTAATAAAACTACATTTAGACATTATCAGCTAAATAAGAACAACTAATAGAATTGGAATGATAAATCAGATTATCATGTGCACTTATATATTTTTTTTGATTTTTGATTATAGCTTGATTCCACACCGTAGTTTTGATACAAGTATGGAATTTTCAGCATGTGATATCGGTAGCCCAAATTTAGAAGGCTGACCATTGATATCGGGTGTGCGTCGGCAGGGGATCGAACTCCGGACCATGTGCATGGTCGGCGAGAGTACTAACCGCTGTGTCACCGACGCATTAGAATAGAGTGAAGGGATAGAACATGTTGACCACTTCACCTATTTGGGAAGTTGTATCAGCACCAACGGATTGATTGGTGACGAAATCTCAGCACGGATCCTAAAAGCTCGGGCTGCTTTCGCTAACTTACACCATCTCTGGCGTAGACGTGACATCCGGCTATCAGCAGTTCGCTCCGTGCTTCTCTATGGCTCTGGAACATGGCCAATACGAGTTGAAGACATGAAAAGGTTGTCTGTTTTTGATCATAGATGTTTACGATCTCTTTCTCACGTTAGGTGGCATAATAAGGTAGGTAATGTTGACGTTAGGCGTAGAGTGTTGGACAAAGAAGGATAATCAATCGAAGAGGCTATAAAGTTACATAGATTGAGATGGCTAGGTCAGGTGCTGCGCATGCCTAACCATCGCCTCCCCCGACGGTCGGGCATTACTAGCTGATATAGGTGCAGGTTGGAAAAGAGTAAGTGGTGGCCAAACAAAAACATGGCCTCATCAATCTATGAAATACTTAACAGTTAAACTGAGTCAGGTAGGGAGATGCAAGCTTCCGGGTTGGGGCCCTCGGGACTCTAAGAATCAATGGCTGGAGACAATTTTTTTACTTTTTATTTTGACTACAGCTTGATGCCACACCGTATTTTCAGTACAAGTATGGCATTTTCAGCATGGATATCGGTAGCCCAAATTTTGCAGGCCGACCATAGATATCGGGTGTGCGTCGGCAGGGGATCGAACTCCGGACCATGTGCATGGTCGGCGAGAGTCCTAACCACTGTGCCACCGACGCACACATGGCTCAAAATCGTTGTCAATGGCGCGGATGTATTCAGTCTCTGTAATCTTTCATATTGCTTCCTACCATTATTCATTCTGTTTCACTCTTATACTTGTCAAAATTCTATTGATTCTCTTCACTCATTTTCTTGTCTACCTTTGTGTGCTATTTGGAACGTGGCAACTCGAACTGCTGCCCTTCGGTGCCAAGTTCTATGTTGAATCCAGCCAGCCAGCCAGCACTAGAATAGAAGTCAAACAAACAAGCCCGAATGACTCTTTGTGTCACGAACACATTGAACGACGTACGAATATAGGAATATTTACCAATCAGTACAACAGTTTATATTCCCTCTATAGTCTAGAGCTGAGTTGTTCAGTAGTGAAGTTAGAAGCGTTAATACCAAGCTGTTCAGGCCATTCCTAGCCTTTTATAAGACTGAGTTACGCAATCACCAGATTGTAACCAACGTATTACTTGTCTATCGTTGAGTGTATTGATGGGAATCTACCATTTATATTTGCATTGTAAATCATCGACACTGTTTTGACCTGTGTGACACACTGTAGCTTGATACTCTAACTTGTATTAGCGTTTAGTTTCTCACATATATACCAAATTAAGATTTTGGGAAAGCGGTGTATCTCCTGCTATATTTCATACAGATGGGGGCTAACTAGCACTCAATCGAAGCATATTTTAAGTTAATAAACAAGCCTCCAGCTTGAAGCCCTATGTTCCACTGGGGACGTGAAGGAATAAAAAAATTTAGCTTAAAGGTTTCTTATCGTAGAGGCGATTATGCCTTTTATAATCTTTACTCGTGTTTTATTTGAGAGTAAACGCTTAACTTCGTTTCACCCATTTTTAATTAATTAACATGAATTGCTTATGATTCTGTGAATAATCTATAGAAAATCGTGAACTAAGGGAGAGTAGTAAGGTTTCTGACTTCAGCATTGTAACCCAGGTGAACATGGATTTCTTCACGGCTGAAGATACAGTTTTCTGTTGAGTACAGACATTCAATGAGCTTGGGTTCAGGGCTTCTTGTCTACTATAACCGAACGCCTGCTCCCGAAAAAAGTTTTTTGAGAGAGACGTCCTGTGACTGAGCTAAACTTTCATCAGATTGTCTAAAGATTTGTATGCTCCCTTTCATGGACCAGTAATATAGTGAACCTATCTCGTTAGTGGATCAGTCTTTCTCTCTTGATATTTGAACCTTAAGTTTTTTGTGACTGAATATAATTTCTGACGAAACAAACTGGCAATAACCACTCAAACATTAAAGTATTTAAGTTAATTTTGTGTTTACCGTTAATGGTCTATGTTGGACCGGAATGTTTTATCTCCGTTCACGTATAGTTTCCTAGTACAGACACTTCGACTATGTCTGAGGATTAACATAATATCAACTGGGACTAAACATTTCAATCCAAAGTAACCAATTAACGTGAAATACAAAATTAGCTGAGACAAATGGCAACCGATACCCATTGCCCAACAGGTGGTTCTCATGTCCCAAATGACCTCGTAGATTATCCTTTGGCATTTGAAACAATGGGTGCTAGGTACGAGTCTCAGTGGAACAACTTCACTTAGTGAGTTGACTAGTCTCAAATAAGGTGGATTGTGCACCCTGGATTCCACTGCCCATCACACCAATCAACCAAAAAACATTTAAGAAGTGTTGTTGATGGTAATGAGGAGAACAGGCCTTTTAAGGGTAGATACAATGTTTATTAGGAGAAAAACTACAATGGACATTGATAAAATAATAAACCTTTCGTTTATTGTACTATTTGCAAACATTATCAAGCATTTTGTTCTGGAGATGTTTTCTTCTTCATTGTCTATCCCTTATTAGGTTATCTCTATAATCCCTACTCTATCCTGTTTCTTCTATGGAGCTCTTCTAGTTACATAAAGGTTTTTTTCAACAGACGTCGCACTATATGCTATTTATGCCTACTATTATAACCAACACTACAGTAGTTTGGAAGTGTCTACTGTAAAAATTAATACACGAACTTATTAAACAAAGTTATTAGAGAAGTGAGTAACATCTGAGAGCAAGTGATCATCTTGGATCAATAGATTTGTAAAAAATATCTACTTGGGTTACAGATAGCTGGTTTGTGGTTATGACTGAAAATATAAGTATCCATAACAACTAAACCACTGTACATCGTGGATTAGGTATCTAGTTAACAAAGATTCGAATATTATTTAGATTGAGATTCATTTGTGAAATGTATTTCGATAACTGTTGAATGGAGTCCTTCTTTCAACTGTTAAAAGTAGAGAGAATTAATAGCACAGTGTTATTTACATACATTATTTACTCTAAAGTGTCGGTTTCACTGACATGTTCTTTTCATTTTTTTCATTACTTTTTCATTATAGATTGGTTGTATTCGTATTCTTTTGAAAACAAAACCGAATTCTGATCCACTTCTTAAATTGGTCGATCGTTTACCCTCTCAAGTACCCGGTGCTACAATTGGAGTGAAACAGTCTTTTGATAATACTTTGAAGGCATCAGATTCAGGTAGTTTTTTCTCCATGTTGCTTTTTTTGAAGTTCATTTTAACTACAAAAACGCAGTTTGTCACATTTTTGTGATGTATATATTTTGTAGTTTCAAGTTTAACACAGTATTATGTGCTTAATAAACGGAAGTAACAAAAATCAGGTCGTTCTGTACAGTATCTGAGTGATTTAAATACCTGGTGTTTAAGCCCGTAAAAAGTAAATTTGAGGTAGGTAGAGATTACCAACATAGTGCGTGAGAAATTTCCATATAACTTTCCAGATTATCATACTTCACAAAACAAGAGAAAAAAAGTGAGTAATGTCAAGTCATTTCTCGTACATTTTTCAGGGAATTGGTGCATCACAAAAAGCATTTTCAACAGCTTACTGAAGGCTTTTGTCAACAGCTGCCTTCGCTCCTTACTGAAAGCATTATCAGTAAGGATGAATTAACCAACACCCTATTACCCAACAAATATGCTGAGGGAAATGGAGATGGATTAAATGCACACGGAGGAGACCGTTGAGTGAGGTCACGCATCAGGCCCTCAAGTGGAAGCCGATTGCAGACAACGAGTTGGGTGTGTAACGGTGACATGCAAAGGGTCACAGCTTGTGGGCAATCGTGGAGCCAGCTAAAGAGGACTGCAGAGAACAAAATCAAATAGTGATATACTGTTGAAACCCTGTGTTACACTGGGAACACAAGAAAGTAATAATCAATAATAAAATAATCCAAAGAAACCTTTTTAACCATGGAAAAGAAAAAGTAGACCAGAGAGTTCAGTGGTGGGATGGCACCTTTTGCATAAAGATAGACATAATAAGTAATAATAATATATATTTTCCTATCAATGTAGGACACACCAGTTGTACAGGCATGGATAAGTATTATTTAAATTACATGAATTTGATTTATAGTGAAATTACATGGTTGCTGTCCTCTCTGATATCAGTTAGTGAGCACATTCTGATAGTTAGTCGTTCAATGGAGCACATAAAGAAATATAGAAATATTGTCTTCGCATTAACAAAAAAAAACCCAAGTACGTGTCGGATAAATTACAAATATTTGGGAAAAAAATAAAGCTTGAAGTCAATTCCTCCATATAACTTTGTTGTGTGCGGCATCGTATCTTGTTTTATGTTCAAATTGTGTATTAATTTAAAATGAGTGATTTATTTTTATGATTTTGACATCACTTAAATTGCAAGTAATACCAGATGTGAATTCAACTGAATGTAGATTAATATTGGTCATTGTCAAGCAGATTTGTTTTACTGCACTCAAGTCACCCATAACCCGCCATTTGTCACATACAAAGTTGTTGCACCTGCAGCCTCAATTTCGCTTGTATTACGGTTACTTACTAAGCACACAGACGAATTTACTTATTTGAACTTAATGTTAATGTCGAGATCTAGAGATGGAGTACTAATGGATAACGCAAATCGAAAATATTAAATGTCAGATAGTGCGTCGGTAATTCAGTTGTAGAATATTTGCCAACTATCCATGTAGTCTGAGGTTTGATCCTCTGCCACCAACGCCCTCTTAAATCTCTCCTAGCTGGTAGAGACGAAAGGTTGGGTGTGAGACTAGAAACCTTTCCCCGTAAAAAATAAACATCACTGCTACCAAAACTTTAAAGCGTAAGCTTGAAACCTTGTGTTCCATTTGGGACGTAAAGGAATACAATGAAACAAGTGAATGTGTCAGATTAAGGTTCCCTGGGGACGTTGCAACAAACATCCTAGAATGTCAACTAAACAGACCGGTCTAGAGAACATACTCTTTTTCTTCCGAGTAAAATATAGGGATTCAAGCTTTGAAGTTTCATTAGCAGTGGCAGTATTTTTTTTACGGGGTGAGTTGCTGGCATCACGCCCAATCTTACTTTTTTTCCTGTCTTACTACCGGATAGTAAAGTAGGTAAGGTTTAGGCATACGTTGGTTGGGAATCGAACCCTTACTTCCTGTGTGGATGGCAATCACCTTGTCAATGGGCTACCAACGCATTCTCAATGAGTCAAGGATGAATTGCCGACAATGACGGCCGCATCAATTTGCATTTGACTTCAGCTTCTTTTGTGAAGCTAGTTACACAGGCCGTGCTCACTGGGCTTTATCTATACACCCGCGTAAACATGTACCGATATGATTGGTTGAAGAAGTAACTAGCACAGTGTCATCTCACTTGGTGGATGGATAGTGGGCATTAAGTTAAACCACAACGGGTGTTTTTAGTAATTTACCAGAATCCTAGTTACCTATCAGGAGAAATTCGATCACTTCGATCGGTAGCTAAAGTTGTAGTAATCAATACCAGAAGGCTAATTACTTTGTTTACCTCGGCTCGCAGTAAGGTCAATATAGCCTCAATAAATATTCATAATTAACACATTAAATTCCTGTCTCGTTTTTTCTCTCGCTTCTCTTGGTTTACTGACAAGCATTTATTGCAGACGTTCACAATTCCATGACCTTTCTTATTTAGTCTATTACTGTTAGTTATTTGCTTAGGTTTACGTAATACTTTTCACATTCAGTATTGTATGCATACAATCCTTTTCTTTCTAGCATATAAAATTCTAATCTTTCGCTATAATCATCACTTTGTTTATACCACATTATTATTATTATTTTACTGTGATCTTTATTTGTCATCTTTTGAAATTACTTGCAGTAAGCTGCACTTGTGTTGTTCATACTTTCTCCGATACTACTACTGATTACAATTCACTTCTTGAAACTTATAATTCTATTGATCGTAAATCCACAAACACACTATTGAATTATTTAATGTCATATTCTTATCGACCATACATTTTTATAAGTAGTTAAACGATAATCGAAGCTAGCAGACTATTATTCTATCTTATGTGTGTGTGTGTGTGGCTATTAGTCAGGTAAATGAAAAATCTAATCCAGATAATTAAGCACTAGACACTTGTTCCATTCTAATTTGGGAATCTTCAGCAGTAAGTCCTCACGACCCTATCGGAGATCGAACCTAGGAGCTTCAGGTTACGAGGCCTAGCACGTTGACCACTCAGCTATTTGGGCTGGAATCCATTTGTCTCGTCTTAATTGAGTCTCTGTTTTCATATTTCTAGCGCGCATCAGTATTTTTGATGTGAACTGTTGTAAATTACAAAATTATTGTTTGTTTGATTATAGCTTGATTCCACACAGCATTTTTGGTACAAGTATGGAATTTTCAGCATGTTATATCGGTAGCCCAAATTTCTCAGGCCGACCATTGATATCAGGTGTGCATTGGTCAGAGATCGAACCCCGGATGATGTGCATTGTCGGCGAGCGTCCTAACCGCTGTGCCACCAATATAACATGAAAAAAATCAGGTTTCGTAATTATTCTTTCTAAAGTAGTCATAATAATCCTATTCTGTATTTGTTACAGGGGGTTTTTCATGGATATTGAAACGGTAGAAGACGAAAGACTTGGTAAAGGAATGTTTATTTGGAAATTGGTATCTCTATATAGCCAAATTATGTATACCTTATCTTCAACGCACCATTTACAAAGATCTTAGTGTTGTGGTACTCATGGACTTCATGTTGTGTTTCTTTGTGTTCCTTTCACGTCTCCCATGCCTTCTCTGAAATCAAATGTGTCTCCCAGCTAATTGATGATGTTTTTATGCCGATGAACGTCCTTTTACATACTACTTATAAATCTTATCAGTAGCACTCGCCACAATATGGCACCAAAATCACTGTCCAGTGGTCGACAGTAGAATATCTGTCTGTCACTAAATAATATCCTTGGTCCTTTCGAATTATACATACGACACGGTTCGGGGTTGTAAATTCACATGTTTCTCTCGATTGCTGCATTTCTCTATATGAATTTGAAAAGTGTGCTTTACTAAAGAAAAACTGAACATTCTTTTCTCGTAAATTTTTATTACTGCGTAGACTGTTGCTTTTATGTATTGGGTGATGATTGATGGGGTTTTTAAACTGAATAATATTCCAGTCGTCCCTAGTGTATTCTATGGTTTTCAGAGTAATGTATGTACGTTTGGGTAACGTGAGCAAATAATGTAGTAACAGCCTACACTATAAATATTCCTATATTTCAATGAAGTAATCTATTCATTAGTTTGGTTTAAAAGTTGCAAGACTTTGTCATCTATTGTTGGCAGCGAAGCAGTTACACCCCAAAAAAGATCAAGACATTTAGTCCCTATTTAAAAAAGAAATAACGAAACGAGTATCTGAGGTCGACCTAAGGAAAATTTGGTACAGTACAGCTATAGACAGTTGTAAAGGCTGTTAATATTATTATTATTATTATTGTTTCCTTTAATTCCTAGAGGAACATAGGGCTTCAGCCGTGCGTCTCCATTGCGTTCGGTTCTCTACTAGAGTCTTCACCTGGCTCCAAGTCTGCCCACACGCTTTCATCTCCTCTTCACATGACCTCCTCCAAGTCACCCTCACACTGACGACCAGTTTACCACTTCCCTTTCGGGTTCCACTCGAGCAATGGCTTGTCTAGTGATGTCACTTGATGGTTTCCTCAGAGTGTGGCCAATCCATCTCCATTTCTTCCTGCTTATTTGTTTCACAATCGGTTCCTGGTTGGTTCGCTCCCAGAGATCTTTGTTGTTGATCTTTTCTGGCCGGCCATCTGATCTTGAGTATTGAGCGAAGACAGCTATTGACGAAGGTCTCTAGTTTGCTTGAGATGCTCCTTATGACGCACCAAGTCTCTGATCCGTATAGTAGCACTGACTTCACATTTGAGTTGAAAGTCCGGATGTTATTTTTGATGCTGAATGCTGTTGACCTCCACACAGACTTGAGAGTAGTGAAAGCTTGTCTTGCTTTTCCGATTCTTGCTTTGATATCCTCGTCAGTTTCGTCCGCCTGTAGTTGAAACGATGCTTCCCAGGTAGGTAAAAGAGGTTGTTTCTTTCAGGTTCTTCCCATTTATGCTGATCGTTGTCTGTTGTTGTTCTTGCCCAGGAATTTTCATCACCTCTGTTTTATCTATGTTCACCTGAAGTCCTATCTTCTCTGGATGCTACTTCTGCCAACTTGTTGCTTTTCGCTTGCATATCTTCCAGTTTGTGGGAAATCAGACATATATCATCGGCCAAGTCCAGATCCTCCAAGTTCTTTGTGTGAGTCCATTTTATGCCTGTCTCCTCATTGCCCGCTGTTTGTCGCATTATCCAGTCTACTGCAATCAGGAAAATCATTGGCGATAGTAGGCAGCCTTGTCTTACTCCTGTCCTCACTTCGAAGGATTCCGTAAGTTTCCCGTTGTGGATTACTTGGCATGCAGCGTTGTCGTACAGCTGTTGGATGAGATGTATAATTGTCGGTGGCACCCGTAGTAGCGAAGTAGTTTCCAAATCACCTCTCGATGGACGCTGTCGAAGGCCTTTTCGAAGTCGATGAAGTTGAGATAGAGAGGTGACTGCCATTCCAGGCTTTGTTCAATGATGATCCGTAATGTGGCGATCTGATCAATACATGACTTGTTTCTCCTGAATCCAGCCTGTTCCGGTCGAAGTTTTTCATCCAGGGTTTGTTTGATTCTCTCCAGGATGATGCGGCTTAGTATTTTACTTGGGATAGACAGGAGCATAATTCCGCGCCAGTTCTTGCATTGACTTAAGTCTCCTTTCTTTGGTAGTTTGAGTAAGTATCCTTTCTTCCAATCGTCGGGTACTTTGCCTTCTTTCCACACCTTCTCCAGTAGTGGCGTCATCAAGTCCGCCGTTGTCTCTGGGTCCAAAAGGCTGTTAATAAGCTGAAGCCAAAAGTTAGTAATAACCAGTGGATTTTTACCACTTCATCTGATTTGATTAAGGCAAGAAAACTGATTCCAGTGAGCTCCGAATATGATGAGGAGCGAAAGCTGCTCAAACGCAAACTAACAAGAAGTCTTCGCAATGACTGTAAACAGTGGTGGACGACAGTATCGAAAAAGATGGAAGAGGTATCAGCGTTAGGTAACACCAGACAGCTGTTTAGATATATCAGGGAAACAGGTGGTAAAAAGCAAACCATAAGGGAAACAATCTCTGAGGTAAATGACACCATAATTAGATCACAAGATAGACGACTAGAACGTTGGAAAGAACACTTTGAGGAGCAATTTAATTGGCCTACAGCCACGATCAACCTACTGAGCATGCAACGCCTGTCTGAATGGGATATAGATACAGGTCCTCCGTCCCTAATTGAGGTTACTAAGGCTGTCACTAATCTGAAGCAAGGCAAAGCAGCGGGGCCTGACAGAATGGCTCCAGAGGTGCTTAAGAACGATGGGGACAGTTTACTGTCTGCGTTAACTGAGGTGTTAGGTAGCGTCTGGGGATCAGAGGAAATCCCGTCGGTTTGGTGTAAGTCATTGATTATTCCGATATACAAGAAGGGAGACAAGTTTTATTGTGTTAATCACAGGGGGATTAGTGTCAACAATATGGCATCTAAAGTTCTAGGATCAATAATCATGCGTACACTAAGCGGTCCATGGGAGAAACAAACACGAGAGAACCAGACAGGTTTCAGACCAGGAAGAGGGTGTATTGATCACATCTCCACCTTTCGACAGGTTCTGGAACATAGGCATACTTACCGTCGGTTTCCAACAAGCATCATATTCCTTGACCTGAAAGCGGAATTCGATCCCGTCAACCTAGAGGTGCTATGACGATATCTTGCTGTAAAGGGAATGCCGAGAAAATACATCCCACTGATCAACGCACTCTACTCACACTCATGCAGTGAGTCAGCCACGGTGGTGTCCGTCAGGGGGGATGCCCACTGTCTCCATTTCTGTTCAGTTTAATCATAGATGTACTAGTGGAGTTGACTCTAACTGACTTCAGCGACTCAGAGATTGACTTGTTACCACCAGGGAATCTTGTTGACGTAGAATTTGCAGATGATATAGTCCTTCTAGGTGAAGACGCTGACAAAATGTAGCAGAGTCTTCTGAACGCCTTGTATGTTTGACATAGGATTTCCTCCTGCAGAATGGAATATGTTGCTATCGGACTGGACTACATTGACTCCTAGCTTAAGGATAAGCACGAGTGAAGTTGTAGTGTGTTGACCATTTCACTTATTCCGGAAGTTGCATCAGCCAACGCCAGGTGGTTGATCGGTGACGAAATCTCAGCACGGATACAGAAGGCTCGTTAGACATACACCAACTTATTCCATCTCTGATGTAGACGTGATATCCGGCTGGCTATCGACCAAAGGGTGTGTGTACTGCTCAGCAGTCCTCTCTATCCCCCTTTATGGCTGTGAGGCATGGTTACTGAAAGTGGAAGACATGAAAAAGCCGGCTACGTGTCTTTCATAGTAGGTGTGTGCGTTCTATCTCCTATGTTAATTGGTATAACAAGGTGAGTAATATTGATGTTAGGCTTCGGTCGAGTACTAGGTAAGGAGGGGAAATCAATCGACGAGGTTGTGGAGTTACATCGACGGAGATGGTTAGGACAAGTGTTAAGCATTCCTAGCCGACACCTTCCTCGACAGTCACTGTCAGCTGACACAGGACATTGGATCAGGTTGGAAAAGGGGTGGAGGTGGTGGTCAAATTAAAACATGACTTTATCAGTCAATCAAATCCACAACAGTTAGTTTAAGCCAACCAGCCAGCCACATAGGGATGTGTAGACTTCCAGGTTGGGGTCTTCGGAGTGGTAAGAACTAATGGAGGCTTGAGGCAATTGGTGATACGGCCCAAACTCATCGTTCTCAATGACTAGCGCAGATGCATCCACTCCTTGTGATTTATAATATTCAACAGAAATCTACTTGTCTTCCACATTACTATTCTCTTTGCCCCATATGTCTGTGTATTATCTCTCTTTCGAATCTTGCTTTGTGTGGTAAAAGGAGGGAGGGTGTGGCAACTCACACTGGTGCACATCTATGCGAATTGCTATGTTGAAACCAATCAGTCAGTTTTCATTTATTCATCCATTTTGCTTCTACTACGAAGTGATGATTACATATGTATGTATATGTATGTATATTTCAGATGTGAATACAATATCTGCTGTGTTGGTTGATATATCAGAAAATAATATAGCTAAGACAATAACTCGTGAAATTAGTCGATCAAATAACAAGGCACCATCATCATCGTTATCACCACAAAGACAACGTAGTCGTTCATTGAATCGTCTATTCAGCATGAAGCATAAATCTGTTAGTCAGGCTGAAGAAATACATACGCTGAATAGTAATGTCGCTGTTACTGTTGCTGCTGCTACTGTTACTACTACTAGTGGACAAAGTTCTATCCATCGAAGAAAAGATATCCGGTCTAGTAATAACGAGAATTCAGAAATTGTTTATTTATTCGATTTAAATTCTACATATCATGATAATACTAGTCATAATGACCATGATAATTTACTTCCTGACGCTGCAATGAATAGAAAATGGAGATTTGTGGTTAACGCGAATAAAAATGATCATGATCATGAAAAAGTGAATAATTCTGTTGTCAAAGCGACTTGTTCATATGATGGTGATAGTGTTCAAATGAATCACAATTATTCAAATGTAATTATAAAAAGTCAACTGAATGGCATTAGTCCTGGTGATTGTAGTTTTGAGGGTGTTTGTGCTGGTGGTAGTGGTAGTGTGATCAGTGGCACTGATGAATCGATGAGTAGATCAAGCTGTGAACATCATCATCATTCCATCGATGAAAGTCATACAAAAGCAAAGGTTACGTAAGTTGTTCTTTTATTATTATGTATATATTTAAAACACAAACATGCTGCATTATGGGCACTAGGAGATTTGTCTCACAAATGAAACCGAGATGATGCCCGGGTGCCTATACCAAAGCAGTTGGTGGTCTTTTAAGCGACCACTTCCGAGCCTTCGACTCGAAGTTCGATCCAGAAGACAGTACAGCTGCATTCCCATTGTTTCCAGTGGCCAAAAGAGGTTCATACGCCATCCGATCTGTTTGGATTATGGCGCCTATATACACCATAAGTTTGCAATAAGAGTTTTTCAGCTCCCCTAGGCAAACGTGGATGTCTACCAGTCCGGTTGTAAGCGCCAGACGTTCGAATTCTACCTTCACTTTTATGAGGAACACCCACGGTATATATAAGGACCAGAAGCGAAATAATATTATGGCCAATATAAAGTTAAAATAGAATACAATAAAGACAAGTTAAAGTTACAGAACTCTGAATAGGATAAATAAATCGTCAATGACGTTTGCGAACTACTTGCCCTTTGTGGAAGCCTTCTACCACACAGTTCAGACAAACAACCAAAGTCTTCATCAAGTATTGGGATGTCTTTTTTTTTGAATAGCCTATAATTTCCCTTCAGAATTGTCCTACTGTAGCATTCATTTTCTATTGGTTTCTTGAGTATTTGTCACGAATAAGTACTCTGTGCTCCTAACCTCAATTTGTTTCACTGTATCGTTTTATCACCCTTGAGCAACACTTTGGAGAAATACGATTCGATACCTATAACTTCTATATCTTCAGCTTTTATGTATTACAACCATGAGATATTATCGATCGAGTGGTATCTGAAACTATAATAAGAAAGGTTTCTAGTCATACATAATTTTGATCCCATTTGCTGTTAAATACTATTAATTGTTAGTGAAGTTTTACGATATACTATTTACTTTTATGATTGTTCTTCTGTTGTTCATGAAGCCATTTCTATCGGAGTTCATTTTTGTAATATTAGGATCACGCTAATTTCTACATCGTTTTCCATTTCGATCTTTTTTAAAATTTTAGTGCTAGCAGTGAACAACAACATAGTGTTTTTGAATCTCCGTGTCCTGCATTGGTTAACACCACCGGTGGCTTAAACAATGACAACCATTCAAAGAACGACTTTTCACAAGATCATTTTCTAACTAGTCAAAGGTCTAGTGACGAAACTACTTCTCAAAACTCTGATCCCAGTGGATGTACCAGTTTAGCTAGTAGTGCTAATGCTTTTGGGCGACAAAATCTTGAAACAGCAACATCTGTCAGTGAATCATTACACAATAAAAATCTAGGTGGCATACAATTGAATCAAGGCTTTTCTCACTTTACTTCTGCTTCTGGTCCTTCAATCAATTCATCTTCACATATTTCTTCATCTTCACCGCCAACTTCTCCAAAACAAGATTTCTGTGATTCACTGAGTGGAAATATCAATGATCGTACTACACAATATGTGGCAAGTAGCTCAATTTCTCGGGGAATTGAAAAGCGTACTAGATTTTCTATTTCAGTCCTGCCTATTAACTCAGGTAATGTATTTCCCTTTAATACTATATACTTGTCTCACAGTTTTTCATTTCTTGACATTACCTATTACCATGATGCTTTTATCTTACTTGTAAACAGCTCATAAGTCCGATGGTCATTCCTCTGTGGCATATCATATTACAATGACGTTCGCCTTGAAATTTAGCGGGAGCTTATTCATTGTAGGGAAGAATATTATGCTATGCCATATTTGAGTTCGTAGTTAGATATTTGCATAGATGTAGTCTATTATTTCGACACTTAAATAACTGTTAAGTGTTTGGGGCAATCGACACGAAGCTTTGGTCTTGAGTTTCTTGCTAGGCAAGGCATATCTGCACCTTCAAGGGGGCTGATACCCCCTGTGAGATTTGAACTCATGTTACCCAGTACTGGAGTCAGAGACGTTACCACTGAGCTCTTCTAGCTCACGATTGACCTTCTGTAGGGCCGTGATACTCACATTGATTACTGTGAATGTGGCTCATTTGCTTAAACACTCAAAGTTTCAGCTAATGAGTCCTCGATTCAAATCCCGCACCATCTACTTCAGCTTGGGCAACTGACTAGTGTCACACTGTAAGTGTAGCTCATACCCTGGAATACGATAAATCTCTTCTGATTGATCACTAGAGAATAACCAATGAGTTTACCTAACTAACTGTTGAAAGCTGCAGCTTATTTATTTTGTCTTTGGACTGACTGGTAATGAGGATAATAGGTGTGAAAGTTGCTACACTAGTCTTTGTTTGGATATTTTAGAAAAGTCAATAATAATAGTAGGTGTCATAGGTGTTTTCATATAGCCTAGTTAGCAAATGTGTATTTAGTCAATATCCTGTGTATTATTAAATGTAATTGTTGAGAAACTATTCATGTGTACTTCAGATAAGTGTCTATTGTTATTTATATACTATATATATTTCCTAATGCGCAGATATTTTCATCATTTAAGTATCACTGCATTATGTTACCGGTGTTGTCTGATTTAATAGTATAAAATGCGATTCTCCTAGTAGTACAACCGCTGCACGATTACTGTTCTGTGCTGGTTGGATGACCGAAAATTGTCAAGATCTACAGTTGGTGGCACAGCAGTTAGGAGGCTCGCTGACCATGCACATGGTCCGGAGTTCGATCCCCGGCCGATGCACACCTGATATCAATGGCCGGCCTCCTAGATTTGGTCTACCTATATCACATGCTGAAAATTCCACACTTGTACCAAAATACTGAATGGAATCAAGCTATAATAAAAGTTGACAGAATGGTATCTGGACTAATCTGGCAATAATTTTTCACTTTTTCGAATTGAATTCGTAGATGTCATCACTTGTGTCTCTGATATATACTGTAGTAACATTGTCATCCTACAGACAGTGTTTATTCTACTATAACCGCGTTCGCTAGAAATGATTGAAGAAAATATTCATCAGTTTAACCTTGGTTTTCATTGTGTCTTCACATCCTGCTCCTTTTTGTTTTCATTACTCACTTTCCAAATGAGACACAATACTTCAAGCTTTTATAAGCTTTGAAGTTTCAGCAGTGATGATGTTCTTATTAGGGTTGCTAACTTCACCCAACCCTAACTCTTTTTAGAGTTAACCATAGGTGGGTAAACTAGTCGAAGTTTAGAAGTGATTCGGGGGGCAAGGGGGGGAGAATCGAACACCGATCATAAGGCTGGTTAGCGAACATTCTACCATTAAAGCCATCGACACACATTTTATTTTTTGCACCAATCGATCTAACAAAATATCAACATATTAAGTCTGTTAAAACTAGATTTGCGAAACACGCCATCCAGAAGTACGAGCCAGAAATTTATTTAGTCGTCTGGTAGATACTATGAGCAAATTAATACTAAGTATATGGTGATACAAAGAATATCTATCATAGATTGGTAATTACCTTCCAAAATGTTTTTAGTCTTTTCGTTTACAATTCACATGAGCACTTTGATTTGAAACTAGACTTCTGTGATACACTTAAAATAAGTAAGGGGTTAACACGCTCTACCACTTCACTCCTGCTCATCCTTAAGGTAGGAGTTAATGCAGTACAGTCCAATAGCATCATATTCCATTCTGCAGGAGAAAATCCCATGTCAAACATACAAGGCGTTCAGAAGACTCTGCTATATTTTGTCAGCGTCTTCACCTAGAAGGACTATATCATCTGCAAATTCTACGTCAACAAGATTATTCCCTGGTGGTAAAAAGTCAATCCCTGAATCGCTGAAGTTAGTTAGAGTCAACTCCACTAGTACATCTATGATTAAACTGAACAGAAATGGAGACAGTGGGCATCCCCCCCTGACGGACACCACTGGTTGTCACAACTTCAGATGACAACTCTCCGTAGGCTCTCACCTGGCTGACTGACTGCATGAGTGTGAGTAGAGTGCCTTGATCAGTGGGATGTATTTTCTCGGCATTCCCTTCACAGCTAGACATCGCCATAGTACCTCTCGGTCGACGGAGTCGAATTCTGCTTTTAGGTCAAGAAGTATGACGATCATTAGACACCGACGGTAAGTATGTCTATATTCCAGAATATCAAAGGGTGAAGATATGATCGATGCACCTTCTTCCTGGTCTAAAACCTGTCTGGTTCCCTCGTGTTTGTCTGCCCCGAGCACCACTTAGTGTACGCATGATTAATGAGCCTAGAACTTTAGATGCCATATTAGTGCATCCAAACCCCTGTGATAGACACAGGAAGACTTGTCTCCCTTCTTATATATCTGGGTAATCAACGACTTACACCAGTCTCACGGGAATAATAAATACGGATGAATATGCATATGGCAACCTGAAGTAATCCTGTTACTAAGAGCTTTTCGAGTTTAAGATGTACCTGTTTACTGTTGATAGTTTTATCGTATATTAATGGTTTAGATGAAATATCAAATATTTGATATATGGATATCAAATTTATCAAGCACTACTTTATCAAAAGTTAGGTGGAGCTGTGGCTCATCGATTTCGGTGCTGGACTTCCAACCACTGAGTCATGGTTTCGGACCTGGCTGCATTTCCAGATGTTTAGTCAGCCAGATAATGTCACAAGCCACCACACAATAAGTGTAGCTCATTGTCGACTGCATGGAATTGCAAGTGTTGATATAAGATATTTGTTATCCGAGACCGTGAAGATTATTCATCAGGTAGATATTTAGTAGCTTATTCGCATACCATTTGCATATAACATTATCTGAATTTTTTTCTTCCTCTTTACAGAAGTACGAGAATTTGGAAATGCTACATTTACACCCAATCGTTCGTTTCTAATGCAGTCTAAAGTGCCACAAACAAGATATAGTAATAGTGAACCCACTGCTTCATCATCAGTTGTCAGATGTAGTTCAGTTGATTTATGTCAATCTGATTTAATCAACCGTTTAGATCGTTCATCAAATGAAACAACAAGTAAATGTGATCCCGTTGAAAAATCTCATTTAGGCTTTGTTTCTGAGATACCTGTATCAAGTACTTTAAAGCATAATAATAAGAAGTCAACAGTTCAACTTCGTTGTTCATCTCTTACATCTTTATGTGGAACTACTAGCAATACTTCACTGCCAATACATCGTCTACACCGACACTCAAGGAAGCTTGGTGCAAGCACTTCGAATCAGGATATTGAAGGTCCAGGTAAGTTCCTGGAATTCATGTATTTAGCTGTATACGTAAAATGACCGTTTTTAAAGGGAGCATTTTGCTGTCGCTGTTTTTGGGAATCCTTTGGTTTTACTCCATTTCCATATGTCAGGTAGTGGATGTTTTGATTCACTGTTAACCGGTAGTTATTTGATAAACAATTAGCTCCAAAGGTCATCAAGAAGGACAATGGGTTGTCGCTTTCTGAAATATTGTCCTTTTCAGTGGTTGTCATCGTGTAATCGATTTTTGTTAGGACACATTTGATCTGTTGGACTTTTAATGTATTTCTATTATCATACAACTGCTTGCCTATGAATACTTCAGTTCCTCTCGCCAGCACTTCATTATTCAAAATTGTATTCTTCTGTACTCATGAGAAGTCATGTTATATAAATTCAGAACACTGTAAAAGTGAGGATAAAACTTTGTAAATTAGAGGGAAGATGGAGTCATGACTACAATTAGGATGTCTTATTTTCAGAGCCACGAATTATTCGTAATCTTGTATATGATTTTGTGGCTGACTGACTGGTTTCAACATAGAACTTTGCACAAAAGTGCAGCATTCCAAGTAACACTCCATGTAACACACAAAGGAAGAGAAAAGAGAAAGAAGAGAGATTCAAAAGCACAATGATCAGAAATGTGAAGAAGAAATAATAGTGGCATGAAAAAGCCATAGGTTTTTGTGAATATGGCAGATCACAAAGAGTAAATGCATCTGTATCATTCAGAATGATTTCAAGCCATATCACCAAATGTCTCCAGCCATTGGTTCTTACCATCCCGAAGACCCTGACCAGGCAGTAACACATCCCTACATGGCTTAAACTAACTGTTGTGGATTTCACTGACTGATGAGACCATGTTTTGGTTTGGCCACCACTAGCTTTTTCTTTCCCAACCTGATCCATCCTATGTCAGCTAACACTGACCGTCGAGGAATGTGATGATTTGACACGCGTAACACATGTCCTAGTTATGTCAATTGATATAGCTTGACAATCTCGTCGATTGACTTCCCCTCCTTACCTAGTACTCGACCGAAGTCTAACCTCAATATTACTCACCTTGTTATACCACCTAACACGGCAGATAGAGTACAGATATTTTTTATTCCTTCACGTTCCCCAGTGGAACATAGGGCTTCAAGCTAGAAGCTTGAAGTTTCTGCAGCAGTGTTTATTTTTACAGGATGGGGTTGCTAGCCTCATGCCTAACCTTTCCTCTTTACCAGCTTTTTTATTTCTGGCTTAGCGAGGTAAAGGAGTGCGTCGGCCGGGATTCGAGCCCCGGACCATGTGCATGGTCGGCAAGCGTCTTAATCGCTATACCACCGACGCACGTACAGATACGAATGATAAAAGACAGTTAGCCGGCCTTTTCATTTCTTCCACTTTCAATGGCTATGTCTCACTCACAGCCATAAAGGGGGACAGAGGGAACTAGTGCGCAGTACACGTTCTTTGATCGATAGCCGGATATCACGTCTACTTCACAAGCGGCGTAAACTGGCAAGTGCGACACGAACCTTCTGTATCCGTGCTGAGATTTAGTCAACAATCAGCCTGTTGGGGCTGACGTATATACTTTTTATGTGGTCGCTGTATCGCTTTTATTTTCACATGTATATCGAGAGTCCAGGTAGATAGCTAATCATGCAGCCATCAGTTTAATTGGACACGTTATTGATACCTTGTTTGATTTATATCAAGCTACAAACAAAGGAGGACTGGAGGGTGCTCAGTGTATCAAATTGTAATCCCATATGAGTTGTTTTTTGTCAGATAAGTGTGTGTGTGTGTGCTGTGGTATTAAATGGTGGTATTCATAATCAGTTCTATGATGACCACCACCAAGGACACAGCGAGAGATAAATTTAGTCATGAAAGATGAGGTAATCTATTTACAAGAGATTCTTTTTAGTGTTGCTGAACAACAAAACATGCAACGTGCAAGATGCATCCAATCAACTTTCCTTACATTCCACTTAGTTTAATACCAAAGTTTGGTGTTACCATTTATCAATACAATACTTTCTTAATTTGATCACAAAATACAGTACTGAAATATATTCACAGTACATATTAGTATATATTCTTCCAAACATTGTCTAATTTCATATTTAGATAAAATAATTGTAGCTAGTCTTCGAGGGTAGCGAAATTGCGTTTTTAATGTATGATACTTTCAATTTAGTCAAGTCAAAATAAAAGCATTTCTTAGATGAAAGGAACTGAAGTGATTATACTTTTCAAAGTGCTTAAACAACATCCAATCAATATTTCCGTTTTAATTTATCTATAATTCTTCGGCCTCTCAACAAGTGCTTGTAAATGTACAAATGTAGTGTGAAGTGAGCGGTTATATATTTGTCTACATTTGAATTAGTTAGTTTAATGAGTATTTTGTGTTTGTCACATATTGTTAAAATTATTCTGACATCGGAAAAAGTATCTTTTATTTATTTTTGAAAAAGTTGCCTTTATGACACCTTTTTAAACTGCTCATGAAGTACTTTGTTTCCTGTGTTTTGTTAAGTGAAGAAATTTAGTTTTTTTTACGGCGGTTACCGGCATAGATGTCACTGTCTTCCGTTTCCCTTATTCAAGAGGAATTTCCTTGAGTAATCGTGAATTTTCGCTCACTACTTTCACAGTGTAACACTCTTGCTTTATTGCAAAACATCTTGGCCTTAATTGGTGAGAGTGAGAACTATTCTTTTTCTTCTTGAAGTATGAGATAGTCTATTTGCCTCTCCAATAAATTAACTTTCTAATTCTGTCTTCCTTATTATACTAAGAACTAGAATATGAAACTCGTTATCACTTACGTAAGTTATTGTAAACCTGAGGTTAAGGTGGACTGTGATAAGTTGTTCAAATATCTGGAGTGCATGTCGCATATTTCTATAAACAAGATATTTGTTGTTTGCACACTTGTAATAATATATACTGTTTTCCTCTTTTGTGCATCGGTGGTGCAGCGGCAGAATGTTAGCCAACCGCCCACGCGGTTTAGGGTTCCATCCGCGGTCGCCAAAGCAATCTTAAATCTCTCTTAGCTGGCAGTAAATCCGGCAAAGAGGAGAGGTTGGGTGTGAGGCTAACAACCCTACCCTGTAAATATAAAAGACCCTCTGCCACTGAAACTTCAAAAGTCAAGCTTGAAGTCCCATGTTCCACTCGGAACACAAAGGAGTTAGAATAGCATGGAGGATTTCATCATGAGCTGACATCTGTTAGAGAACCACTGGAAAACCTGGGAGTACTGGTCAGCTGTTTCCTCCTAGTTTGGGACTCTTCATCAGTACACACTCACCGGGGTTCGAATCCAGAATAGCCCTAGAATAACTTTTCGGCCTCCGCATCACTAGTGTTCTATCATTTTTCTCTGTACTTTATCTGTTGTATTAAAACTTCAGAATTTTTTATTCATTCATTCACTGACTGACTGACTGACTGGTTTCATCGTAGGACTTTGCACCGATGTGCGGCAGTTTGAGTTGCCACATTCCATTTAGCACACAAAGCAAGCGAAAAAAGTAAAAAGAAAATCCAAAACAGAAACAGTAAACAAAGATGTGAGGCAAAAAGAATAGTAATATCGAAGAGCCATATAGTTTTATTGGTTACTATAAGGCACAAGGAGTGAATGCATCTGCACCAGCCATTGAGAACGCTGACTTTGAGCCATATCACCAATTGCCTCCAGCCTTCATTGCTTTTTATCTTCCCGATGACCCCAACCAGGAAGCCAGTCTACACCTCCCTATGTGGCTAGCTGGCTGGCTTAAAATAACTTGTGGATTTCATCGACTGATGAGACCATGTTTTGGTTTGACCACCATTAGCTTTCTCTTTTCCAACCTGATCCATCCTATGTCAGCTATCACTGACTGTCGAGGAAGGCGATAGCTATGTCAATTGATATAGCTTCAGTACCTCGTCGATTGACTTCCCCTCCTTACCTAGTAATCGACCGAAGCCTAACTTCAATATCGCTCATCTTGTTATACCACTTCACACGGGAGATAGAATGCAGACACCTATAATCAAAGACAGACAGCCTTTTCATGTCTTCTACCTTCAGTGGCCATGTCTCGCCTACAGACATAAAGTAGGACAGAGTGGACTGTTGAGCAGTACGCATTCCCTTTGGTCAATATATATATTTTATAAAAGTATTTATTACTTGGTCGTATATTATGTTATTGTTTTATTTCTTTTTTGTAAAATAGGTACTTCTAGCTTCTCTGTGGATAGTGCATCAAATGATAGCGATAGTGATAGTGGATTGATAGGAGCTGCAACGTCACAGCATAGTACTGCTTCATCTTCATGTCATTTTAACGCATCCTTTTTACATTCATTTCAAAGTTCATCACATGATACAGCTGATGTTAGAGAAGTTGATGAACAATCCAGTTTGTTAACATGTTCATCATGTGGTGTACATCTAGGTGAAGATGTTATTCCTGATACAATTCCAGAAAATTCAGAATCACAAGATGGCACTCATGATATTGGTAGTGATCAAATCGGTACACAAGTTGATGAACAATCTAGTTATCCAAGAGATGAAGAAGATGCATTGTCTGATTTACCACTATCATCAGCAAATATATCTGGTCGTGTAACACCTTTATCCTTAACAAGTACAACATCTCGTGGTGGTCAATTAACTCATTCCAGTTTTCATGGGACAGAAAACAATTATCGTACTTCAGGAATGTACTCTCAGTCTGGTTTAATCTTACCTACTGGAACAACTTTACCAGCAAATGTAGCTCATCTAGCAAGATGTGGTGTTGGTGGTGGTGGTGGTGTGGGTGGTGGTCCAGGTGATTTTCCTTCAACACTTTTTCAACGACATTGTACACCAGATGTTACAGAAAAATTTAATAAATTCGATTTACCTCCGCCTCGATTGACAGAAAGTGAGATATTTGAATTTTTTTTATCATTACAGTACACCTTTTGCGTAATTTTAATGTAAAACAAACTAATCACAGTTTAAAAAAAAGTAATTCAACAGGATAGATCACAAGGGGACATCGGTAGAGAACCACTGGAAAACCTTGGAGTACTGGACAGCTGTTTCGTTCTAACTTGGGGCCGTCTTTAGCGGTACTCACCCGCCGGGATTCGAACCTAGGTCAAGAGATGAGCTCGTAGACCATTCAGCTGCTGGAACCCGACGCAATGGTCCATGAATTCAAACTTCTGCTAATTCGTGATATATATTTAGCGCAACCGCCAGCTTGTATTACATGCAAGTAACTATCCTCCTGTCTGACTTCGGGAATCTCGCCGGCTACATATTAACTGTCCAGTACTCCCTGGTTTTTCAATGGTTATCTAACTGATATCAGTTCATGATCAATCTTGTAACCAATGAAATCCTTGCAAAATAATTTTACTACGGAGCAGTTGTTATAAACGGTTATAGTTAATTAATTGTGATATTGAATTGCAGCCTATATTATGCACCTATTTTTGACTTTTAAGTTCAATTTGAATGGCTTGAAAGTTAGATATTAGCTAAAATTTACTTAAACGGCTTGATGTGAGGGTGGTAATGTTGTACAGTGATTATGGCGTGAGATCCTCAGTCTCGTACTCACTGATTTGAAGTGATCCTATTACCGATTTCAATAAGTGAAATTTATCTTCCAACTGTTCTATCAAGTTCGCGATGCATGTGCAATTTACATGGTTTCGAGGTAAAATTTCATAGCAGTTTCCTGCGCACAATATGTGATCTGGTTGATACCATAAATGGCTGTCGACAAAACAGGCATAAATCCATAATAATAATAATAATAATAAAGCTTTATTTCAGACATTATACGAACATATGGTACAAAACTTTTCAGCGTATTTAGTTCCAAAATACTTTTTTCTTCACACAGGATTTACATGTAAAGTAATAATCTGAAGTATATCTTCATTTCGTTGAAAAATTGCACAACGTTTAATCGGAAACAAGTTAAATCAGCGTGCAAGTTCATGTGTAGGTCATTTGATATAACTGGATGATTAAAACAATGATAAATCCAAATGAAATTAAGCATTTTGATGGAAAGTAATTTCGGTAGCTCAGTGATTTAAGTAGGCCGCCTTGAGCTATTCTTTTCCTTTTATTCAACCTTCATAGAGCAACAATGCGTCGATGGCATAGCGGTTAGGACGCTCACCGACCATAAACATGGTCCGGGGTTCGATCCCAGGCCACCGACGCACTCATTTACCTCTCTAAGCCAGAAATAACGCTGGTGAAGAGGAAAGGTTAGGCATGAGGCTAGCAATCCCATCCTGTAAGATAAACACTGCTACAGAAACTCCAAGTTTCTATCTTGAATCCCTATGTTCCACTGGGGAACGTGAAGGAAGGAAAAAGAGCAACAATGGTCTCGCAGCAATAGTACAACTTCAACACATACTACTGGTTGATGAACATGAGTAGTCGGATACCAGTTACATCAACCAGTCAAGCTGGGTACACGGCTGATGAGCTCATCTCCAAACGGGTGAGATGGCCTCTGGTGTTTTTATATCACTCCTATCTGTCTAGGAAGCACTACTGGTCGGTGTAAGTGGTATGTAACAACTACTCATCAGTTTATCAGTAACACCTTGCATTTATGTCCTATTCTTATTCAACTCTGAGGTTTATTGTCTTATATTTAAAAAGTAAAGTAAAATGAAACTGTCTTGAGGTATTGTATGGACCTAATGATCCAGCGATAAGTACAGGTAATTTTTGTATCTTTCTTGTTAATCAATCGTCAGTAGTCACTGCACGTTGTGCAAGTCGTACAGAATGACGCATTAATTCTACAGTTTCCTGTATTGGTAATATTCAAAGCAGCAGTTAGTGTTTCGGGTGATGCAGAAAATGTACTCGTTGAAATGATATCACATCCTGCCTGTAAAAAGCTTAAATTGTATAAAATAATCAAAAGGAAAGTTAAATACATGTACATCATTTCATAGTTGTTAGCTTTTAAATTAATATCAAAACAAGTGATTCAGCGAAGAGACTCTTTTCAACGAATTTATTATGTAGTCTTAATACTGTGGAAGAAAAGGTAAATCTTTTGAGAAAAACACTGATAAAAAATAGATTCCCACCATGTTTTATAAACAAGAATATTCAGTCAAAACCTCTGGAATGTGACTTTTCATCCGTAACCAAGAAAATACTGTACATGAGCTTGTAATTCAAAGGTGACTTGGCTTTCGATATCATCAGAAGAAAGATCTCACAGTCTCTGAAAAGGAAACTCGCTACAGCATCGTTGAGAATAGCGTCCTCCAGTCGACCATTACTTTTCAATAACCTGAAGGACAAAATCCCTCAGTTGACCCAACTCTATGGGCGTTTATCAATTCACCTGCTTCTGTGGAGCTAGGTATATCGGTCGTTCGATTCGAGTTTTGTCCAAGGGGGTTCAAGAACACTATCCTGCATGGTAGTCAGGAAGAGGTGGAAGTGGAGCAATAAGAAGTGTGATAATTGAACATCTAGTCGATAATGATCACCCTATCTCTATAGCCTCTGCCTTTAAAGTCATCTACAAAACAAAAAGTAATTTACCGAAGTCACTACGTACCCGACTCACAGGTATTCCTGAAGCTTTGCCTATCGAAACAGAAAAGCCAGATCTCTATACACAAAATGTCCGTTGAAACCCTCCAACTTCCATGGTGTTAATGCCTTTATGCTAAAGTATGGTAGTCCCTTATTATATTTTGGCTCTACCAATTTTTTCATTTTGTTTATTTATTTTGTATACTCTTCCTATATTACGCCAATTGTTACTATTCCTATTCTCACTTTGGACTGTTTACGGTATTATTTCACTCGTTCCCTTTTGTCATTCTAAATCAATTCTGTTTTGCAACTTTAAATTCTGTTATCAAATTTCACACAATGTTTCGTGACGTTTTTATTTTGTTCTAGTTTAAACAAATAGTTGCCTTTATGAATTTAGACGAAGCAACAAGAAGACGTAATTTGTCTGAATCGTGTAATGTATTTGCGCAACACATTTCTAACAATCTAATCACACACGGATTTGTCATAGGACTATATATGTGAAATTAATAAAGAGTAAAGAAGCGAGAAAATATATTTAGGTCAAGTTAAAAAGACAAATTGAAGATCAAAATAACAATGGAGATCAGCAAACCAAATAATAGAGTCAGTAGTGCAACGACAGAAGACAAGGACCAGGCAACAGATCTTTTATTGAGAAAATCAATCAATATTTATAGATTTTTCTGTACATTATTATTCGTTATTACTAGCAGAGAAACAGAGTCTTCTGATTGTTTGTTTTCTCTCCGAAAGTTAATCTGTCATCTCTTTGTGTCCGTTTCTTTGATGGTCAGATCATCTATCTGCGATTCGTATCCGCCCACGCAAAGTCTGCTGTGATTGTTTGTTGAGTTAGTCTTTGTTCTTGTCCTTTTCTCATGGCCAAGATATAGGACGTAAACATTAACGTAAATTGCTGTCTACCAATTTTGGTTAGCAGACAGCTCTCACCACAATAGTACATCTGCTGTGGTATCAAAACAAAGTTTACCAAGGAAGGTTTAGTATGATTACGATGTCTAAACATCAGTTTTATGTCCTGTCTCTATAATATGTTTCTCAATAGAGGAGCTAGGTCTCATGTTCTCACCGTTAATGGGTTCTGGGGATTCTATTTGCTTCTGGAGCTATTTAGGAATATGAATACATTGCACATAGAAAATCCCAATGCAATTAATCTGAATAGAAATCCATCATCATCCATGGCAAAGCACTTACTAATGTCGGGTCACAAAATCAATATTAATGACTGATTCACAATTATTTCACAGAACCCTTATTCAAGGTTATTAAAGGTGATGGGAGTACTTTGGATAAATCACATACATCCTATGTGCTCAAAATACTATAGATTTCAACCATCGCCTACCATGTACTACTTGACCTATTTAAATATGATTGGTCATTAGAATGTACTTTTGTTTTATATAACTGAGTAATTGTCACGCGTTTTATTTTATTATTATGAATCATGCTAGTTGTAAAGCGATTGTAGAGCAACTACGAAATGAAATTATATGTATATATATATATATATATATATATATATATATATATATAGTGTAATGATAAGCTTGAAACTGAAACGTGATTTCCAGTAATGCATATTTCTGGCGTCTCTTGAGAAACGATGCTATAAGGTATGCATTCAGCTGAATTAACATAAAGGCACTGATTTGACTTTCAGGAAAAGAGTAATGAAGGGTCTCTGAAACAACTTCGTATGTACCCTTTGTCATGTCTGTCGTCTATATTACCACTGTATTGTATGTAAATGGTCTTACCATTTGATCAAGTTTTGACTGATTTTCATTGGTAGAATGTAAATCAAACTGTTCGGTGAAGATATTATTGCTAAGGATTCATATACTTGGAACTGGTATAACTCAATACATATATCTCTAGGTGACATGAAAGTAACATCATATTGAAACGGTAAGAGACGAAAGACTTGGTAAATGAATGTTTATCTGGAAATTGGTATCTCTACCTAGCCATATTCTGTAAATAGCCATATATTATGTATACCTTCAAGGAACCATTTGCACAGATCTTCGTGTTGTGTTTCTTTGTGTTCCTTTCACGTCTTCCATGTATCTCCAAAACGCTATATCATTTGCCTTCTCTGAAATCAAATGTATCTTCCAGCTATTTGATGATGTTTTTATGCCGATGAACGTCTCTTTATATACTACTGATAAATCTTATCAGTAGCACTGGTCACAATAGTATCGCATTGTCAATCAATTCAACTGTCTATTCTTATCATGGTTAAAATTTATCACTGAAGTGTACACTATGGACACTGATATGCACAGTGGTTGACTGTAATTAGTTTGATATTAGTAATCAATCTACACATATGTAGGACGAAGGTCTCCTGTCGGATGACTTGTATCTTTCAGTTCTGCTAACATTACTCTCCAGTCATTATTAACCTATGCGGTGGATTCTAAAGTTATTTTCATGATTGGTAGAATGATTTTTAAGTTATCTGTAAATTTAATATCACAATTTTATCTCACTACATTGGGCATCCATGGGTGGTGATGTTATGAAGGAGATCGTGTGGGGAGAAGATGAGAGCCTATGCGCAATTGTGGAGCCTGCTAAATAGGACTGTAGAGGACAGGATGAGATGCAGATGTGCTGTGGAAGCTTCAATAGCTTCAATAATAATCGCTTTATTCTGGACAATGTTTATATAATGTACAGAATTTCCAGTGGAGTTTATTGCATGATATCTTTTCTTCGTCCAGGATCTTTAAATACACGATTTCGTTGATAGTAGATTTTGTGATACAGTTCTGTCTGACCTAAAGTACAATCCAATCTATTATGATATATCTCCTTGTCTCCTTCGAGAAATCCACGATATTTGGTTGAAAGCCAATTATAAAAAGTTCAGGAGCACATTTTGTGACCCAAGGGCATAATTCAGAAACAGTTATCTCATGTATTGAGATACACTGCCAACCACAATTATGCTTCCTGTCAAGTTTAGTGGGAACTTACGAAAGAGCAAGTTTTTAAACATTTTAAATACCCGCGAGAGTAAATAACACCATTAGATGTCGTATTCTGATAGATTAAAACAAACTGAAGAAGATATATTATATGCAGTTTAAGGATGGAGGCTTTTGATAGCCCAAGTTTTAAGCAAGCCGCCTATGTTTCGCTTGGATCCTAAGGGGATAGTAATAATTGCTCTACACCTTGTATATCGTTGTCTTTATAAACGTATTTAGATTGTCATGAGCTGAACAAAATGAACTGAGACATTACGAGGCGGAATGGATTTTGAAACCTGAACGAAAGCCTTTTGCGTAAGTCCATCATTCTCACTCTAAAATAACTTAGCTAAGCTGCAAAGAGATTAGGCGTCAAAAAGACGTTAATCGATTTATGCTAATATTTGAATATAGTTGTTGGCGCATTAAATTTGTTTTTTCATTCAGTTGAATTCTTGGGAACGATAGTTTTTTTCGTGCCTACGATGTGAATAATTTACAAATAACGTTGGTTATGTAATAATAAATAGTAAAATAGTAAAAAAAATTTCCTTTTAAGTTTTTAAGAATCAGTCTATTGATTCTTTGTGTAGGAGATATAAAAGAATGCACAATATGGGAGATTTAATGGGAAGTGCGCCACACTACCATATGAACAATAAGTCAATTTTTGGTGTGTGGGTGAAATATCTTCATACAAAGTTATTTCTTTTTTGAGAAGTAAACTCTTTCACTGTAAATTGAATAATCATTGTGATTCAAAGATAAATAAATGGAATGGTTATTTCAAGTTTGGTCACGGATTGATATCAGTTGGAGAATCATTGAAAACCAGGGAGTACTGGAGAGTCATTTTGTCTTAGTTTTGGACTCTTCATCAGTACGTACCCTGCGGGATTCGAACCAGGGACTTCCCGGTTACAAGGTAGGCTAGTAGACCTTCCAGTCACTGTGACCTGATTCAGTGATCCATGGAATCCAACCTGTACGAACTCGTGGTTTTAGCACCACCATCAGTCACTGTCATTGGCGCGTATTTGTTCTCATACTCGACCGTGTGGATCCCATTGGTCACGATTTTTCACTAGAACTCCAGGCAACTTCGTCCAGTCACCAGCGAGTCTGGGTCCGAACCCCAGTGGATGCTTACTGATGATAAATCCTAAACTAGGATGAAACAGCTGTTCAGTACCCTCTGGTTTTCGATGGTTCTTCAACTGATATCAATCTGTGTTGAAACCTGAAATCCCTACACAGTAACTCTTGAAACGGTTCTTATTTAACAAGATATTGATTTATTCTTAAGTGGGAAAAATCATTAATGGATTAACAACCACTTGGATAAAGTATGACAATTGACAGTCAGCCATTATTTCGCAAAAATGTATTCAGCATTTGATGCTCGTCGATAGCATTGGTTAGTGGTTGAGCTATGTCACGAATTTACGGAAGTCAGAATTCATGGGTCATTGAATTCCGGCTCTAATTACTGAATAGTCAACGACTCTGACCCCATAACCTGTAAGTCCCGGGTTCAATTCCTTGCGTGGTTGCGGGGGGAGATAACTGTGTAATGGATCCTACTATTCTCCAATTCTATAACTCTTTGTGGTTTGTGATAAAATGTACATTGACATTGATCCAAATTCTCTCAATACCCATAGGCTGAAGTATTATCGCTTGTTTTTACCATCTTGAAAATTCTAACAACCTTTCTGTACTCTTATTTTATATTTATTCTGTTTTATCTAATATCTTATTTTTATTTCTATACATTTTTAAGTACCTTGAATTGGATGTTTTCGCTTTGGCTTACACCATTTTCTACCTATTTCTATATCTCTGTATACTCATCTCATTTAGAACTCAATTACCGGGAGAAATGTTTCTGAACAAAGCAAGAACTACAGTTTTTGCAGAATAAAGTGGTACCATCTTTTATTCCGTTGCCTTCTCGTCAGCTGCTTACAGGCCAAATACATTATTAAATATATCTACAAAAACTATTTTAACATGCTTGCACAGAGTTCATTTTCAACAAAAAATCAATCAATCAATATATGCATACAGTAATTATATATATATATATATACGCATTCAGATGAAAGAGAGATGAAAATATTCAGTTACTAGGGCAAAGAAAGACTGATAACTGTTTATTTCTAAACGCACAAGTCAGGTTTCAGGCGCTTGATGGAAATGGCTTCAGCAAACTTGAGGAGAATTGAGCTTTTTTGCCTATTACTAATTTTGAACAACTTTTTGACGTCCACCTCATGACCCGTGTCAAGGAGATGCCTGGCAATGGCGCTGTTTAAAGCATTTGTTCCCTTTAGACATAAGCTTTTTGGTACATGTTCAGAAAATCGTAGATATGCCCTTTCTTCTGTCCTTCCAATGTAACTGCTCCCTCAGATACACTTTAATTTTTTCTATAGACTACCTATAAAAGCTGTTGATCAGCCTTAAGTAGGTAGAATAAAATTTGAATTCTGGGCTCACTGGTTTAAAAGTCTTTTGCTTAGGTCAATCAGCCACACCCAAAAGTGGATACAGGTTACCTTAAAGTGAACTTTTGCTTGGACTAAACAGTTTAACATAGTTTACCCAGAAAAATGTGTAAGTGAATAGTGTAAAATGCGCATACACAGTGGTCGTTTGACCTAGCTGGTATTAATACGTGTAATTATTTCTTTCATCAGAGATAAACGAAAATTATGTGTTATCTACAAGTTAAAATTGTCTCCAATATACTGTTTCTCCTGATAACTAACCCTGAATGTCTCGTTTATCTCTGCTGTATAGTCAGTTTCACTCTGAAATACGTATGCATAACTAGTGGTTGTGTTTATTTATCTCAGTCATCTGAGGTAACTGTGGGGGGGACCTGCGCTTTCTTTAGATTGAGATGAAGTCTGTTTGATTTTTGGGTTGTCCATCTTGTGAGATCCATATTGCTCTGTGTAAATCCTTTTGCCTGCACACGACAAGAAGACTAAAAGCTTCTGGACTTCGAGGCTGATTTATGTCTAATATCACGGAAACTCGAAGATATACAAGCGAAAACTAACGAGCTGGCAGAAGAATCAGTGAAAATAGGACTTCAGGTGAACATGGGGAAGATATTGCTTATGAAGATAACTAGTCAACAATAACAAGCAGCAATGAGCATCAAAGAAAGACTTCGTGCTCGCGTCACCAAATGCATTTCCACTCGCTAATACAGCCTTGAAACCAACAGATGCCTTCGCTCTTTACCGAAGATCAGATGGCTAGCCGACCTGAAAAGACAGACAATAAGAAACTCTTGCAGTGCAATGGACCGACCAAGGACATATCGATCAAAGAAGTATGCAAATGGAAACGGAGATGCATTAGATACTCTGGGGAGACAGCTAGGTGACATCACACGCGAAGTCAGCCTTCGAATATTAGCCATATGGTAAATGATTAGTTCAGCCTTGGTCCGAAGGTAACATTAGGGAGAACACGTGTGTGGAGGGAATGAAAGCTTATGAACAGCCGTAGAGGCAGCTTAAAAAGATTGCAAAAAACGCAGTGAAATGGCTGTGCTGCTGAAACCCTACTTTCCAATCAAAACTTAAGGAGATAATGATATTTTTACGAGTTGATCACGGATTGATATCAGTTAGAGAATCATTGAAAACCAGGGAGTACTGGACAGTTGCTGTTTCAACCTAGTTTTGGGAATCATCGGCAGTACGCACCCACTGGGATTCGTTCCCAGGACCTCCCGGTTACAAGGCAAGCTCGGAAGGTCCCGGGTTCGAATCCCAGTGGGTGCGTACTACCGATGATTCCCAAAACTAGGTTGAAACAGCAGCTGTCCAGTACTCCCTGGGTTTCAATGGTTCTCTAACTGATATCAATCGGTGATCAACTCGTAAAAACATAACTAACCAAACTAATAACTGTGGTTGCATAGGTGTAATTAAAATCAGAAAATAATTTCAAATAGGTGGATGGAAACCCGTCTTTTACGTATGTAGTTGAATTTTATTTCTAATAATAAATCATGTTCTGATCAGCTGGTATTTACTGTACTTACTGTTTTTATGATTGATGATTTTTTAATCGACTTATTAGTCTGGTTCTTATTAAATATTATATACGTTATTTGTGTGTTTAGATGAAACTCGATCTACTGTCAGTGATACATGGTCTACAGATGTACTTCCATCGGATACAGAATATGCTGATCTTGGCCAAGAATTTTCTGGTTCTCAGGCTAATTTAACTCCAGAAATAATGAGTAGACGCCTTTCTAATCGCACTTCACCACGTGTCTCACATCGACATACACATCGTCATCATCATAGGAGAACAGCACCTGTATCAGAGTCATTAACTCCTGAAACTACAGACAGTAGTAGTTTAAGGCCGCTACCTGATGTTTCTTCAGAATCAAATGGTGGAGAAATGCAACAACATTTACCGTCTGAATCACCCTTGGAGGGGATGACTGTTAATGAAGAAGGTGAAAGTGGGACGGTCAATGCTGAAGTGAACAATTCTGGTCATCTTGAAGGAGACGCTGTAAATTCTAAAAGAAATCATCAATGTCAGGTATTTCATTGTTGTAATGCCTAATTTTGTTGGCAATTCATATATATATTGATGTAGTTGTGTTCTCTGAGCTAGATAGTTAATTTGCGAAGCTTTCATCACCCTACTAGGTGACATCTTCAGCGCATACTTCAATTTGAAGTGAGCTTTTCGATTTCTCCACGAGTTTATTAATCATCACTCCTGTTGATCTTGGACGTGATTGGTTGTTTTTGTTTGTTTTCACACCTTCTAGGCTACTTGTATTGGAACTGATTGTTTCTTTGACTTGAACTTTGACCCTTTGTGTGTGAGGTTTCTTTCTTATCGGTTGATAAATTTTGTCTATCTCGATGTGTCTATTGATTGATGATTCACTGGAATACCAGGCTTCTAAAAATTCTGTAGCATTCTTGTTGTTTCCTCTGTCTAATATTTGAACATTGTCCCAGTCGAATTGATGTCCGTGGTTGTCTGTATGTAGTGATATGAGGGAGTGGATGTCATGTCTTTTGACGGCTAGTTTATGTTCGTGGATACGAAGACGAAGAGGACGTCCACTTTGGCCAATGTAGTGTTTTTCGCAGTTGTTACAATTTATTTTGTAGATGATGTTGGTTTTATCTTCTTTCGTTGTTGAGTCTTTCGGTTGACATAGAACTGAGTGAAGTGATTTTGTTGGTTTGTGTGCGACGTCAATTCCTAAAGGTTTGAAGAGTCTTGCAGTGATTTCTGAGATGTCCTTTATATATGGTAGGGCGATTTTCTTTGTGCTTTCCTTGGGGGCTTTTGGTTTGATAGGTTGGCTTGGGGGTATATGTCTTTTGATGAAATTCCGTGGATATCCATTCTTTTGGAAGACGTCCATGAGATATCTTTCTTCAATTTTCCTTAAGGTGGGAGTGCTGCAATGAGTTCTGGCCTTCTTGAATAGTGTTTGTATGCAATTCCTTTTGTGTGTTATTGGATTGTTGCTGTTGTAATTCAGTATTTGGTCTGTGAGTTGATTTTCTATAAACTTGAGTTTCTAATTCCTCTGTGGTTGTTCACTTGACTAAGACGTCCAAAAATGGGATTTTGTTCTCGGATTCCTCTTCTCTTGTGAATTTGATGTCGTTGAAGACGTTGTTTATTAAGTTGTGAGTTTTATCTAACTCGTTTCTTTTGATTATTACAAATGTGTCGTCTACGTAACGTATCCAAATTTTTGGTTTGATCTTTGGTAGGATTATGTTTTCGAGCCTTTGCATCACTGCTTCTGCAATCAAACATGATATTGGCGATCCCATGGGTGTTCCTTTGACTTGTTCATATATTTGGCCGTTGAATTGGAAGTACGTTGTTAGGCATAGGTTTATGCATTCCATCCAGCTTGTGTGTTGCATTTTTGATTGTTGTGGGAGGTGTTCGTCGTCGCTAAGTAATTAGAATTCCATTTGGTCAACCAATTAACACAATTTAAATGCATTTTTGTGCAACCAAACAAAGTGGTAAAATAGTAGTGCAAATTTATTCTGCGCTGAGGTTTGAATCCATTACGCAAATGTCAGTTGCTTCATTCTTCCCCATAAAAGGTTATTATCGTATCATCGTTAATATTCCCATTTTTTTCTCATTCCTTTGCCCTCCTAGCGGGGCATGAGGCTTCAAGTTTTGAGGTTTTAGTAATAGTGTAACAACAGAAGACAAGGGTCAGGCAACAGATCGTTTATTAAGGAAATCAACACATATTTATAGCTTTTCATGTACATTATTATAGATTATTGTTAGCAGAAAAAAACAATCTTCTGATTGGTTGTTTCTCACTGAAAGTTAGTCTTTCATCTCTTTGTGACTGTTTCTTGAATGTCACATCATCTATATGCTAACTGTATCCGCCTACGCAAAGTCTGCTGTGGTTGGTTGTTGAATCAGTCTTTGTTCATATTTTTCTCACGACCATTATTGAGGACGTAAACATTGACGTAAATTACTATCTACGGATTTGGCTAGCAGCCAGCTCTCACCACAATAGTGTTGTTCTTTTCACTAGATGTAGGTGGACAAATAATAATAATATGGGGATAGCTAAGTATTCTCATTGTTCCCTATGTCACTTCAAAGGGGATCTCTCACCTTACTACATTTCCCTTCTCTTTATTTTCGGTTTGACTTCTGGAAGTGATTTGACTAGGGTATTTATGCATTATTATTTTTATTATTCTATTCCTTTGCGTTCCCGTTGGAACATTGGGCTTCAAGCTAAAGTCTTGAAGTTTCGGTAGCAGTGGTGTTTATTTTTACAGGATGGGATTGCTAGTCTCACGCCCAACCTTCCCTCTTTGCCTGGCTTATTACTAGCTAAGTGAGGTTTAGGAGTGCGTTGGCAGAGGATCAAACCACGGACCACCTGATTGGCTGGCGAGCATTCTACCTCTGCGCCACCGACGCAAGGTATGTATATAGGTAAGGATATAAACTAGCTGACATACTTTCTAACAGCACCTCTCCTAGTTTCATACCCAAGTTAGAAGTATTGGCGTGTATTATGGATCAGTGAGTGATTGCAGCATTATCAAAAGCTTTAAAAGCAGTAGGACTAGATGGAATCCCTCTAGAAGCTCTAGATAACGAACCCATAGACCTCTGTGGACACACTCAAACTGCTACTTCAGAAAGAAGAAAGTCGTTTGCTGATTTAAAGAAAAGCTACTTTGCTAAACTTCAGCTTATGCAAGAACTGGCGCGGTTTCGTCCTCCTATTCCCCCGAAGCAAATTGTTAAGCGGCCTCTTCATGGAGAGAGCAGAAGCTGCTCGAGATGTCATACTCCTCCCTCCAAAAACAGCGTAATTCCAACAGTGCAACAGTGCACACCATTTTCGAACAGAGTCAACTCTTTTCCTCATCTTGATCGAATCTGGAAAGTCTTTCGATAATGTTGACTATGACATGGAGATCATTTTTTGCATGGAAAATAAAAGCTTGTGGACAGTAGTTGGCGATTGAAACTGATGTTAGAGAACTGATTTCAACGATAATTTGCCGTTGAAGCGTTATATGTTCCACTTGGACTGGCAGGAATAAATGATAATAGTGTAACTGCTGCAGTGGCTTTTGTATAATGCGCTTTTGTAATCCATTAGTTGCACGTTTGATGCTTAGACTTCGATTTCGGTGGTTTTGTTGAATGTATGCTGTATTTGAGGCTTATTAAATTGTCAGCGTGGTGTAGTAGCTAAGGTTTATCTCATCATTTCACAATGTGATGTATTTTTAAGATCGTAAGTTAATGGCGTAACGGGTCTATTTTTTTATTTCCATCTTCATGGAAGCTGGCTATTGTTCAGTCATTTTGATACATAGTCAACATTGTGTATGTGATTTGTGATTCTAATAGTCTGAAATACACAAACACACTTTTTCATTGGACTCTATTATTATTATTCCCTTGCGTTCCAAGTGGAACATAGGGCTAACAAAACGCCTCCACTTTGTTCTGTTTTCTGCCATCCTCTTCAGCTGGGTCCACGATTGACCAAACTCTCTTATCTTTTCCTCACACGATCTCCCATTTCTATGCACATCTCTCCCATTGGGATTCCACTCGAGAGCCTGGCGTGCGATGTCATTCGACGGCCTCCTCAATGTATGCCCGATCCATCTCCATTTTCTCCTACATATTTGTTGAGCGATCAGCTCTTGGTTGGTTTGTTCTCAGCCAGAGTTTCTTGTTACTTATTCTCTCTGGCCTGTCATTTGATCTCCAGTATGGAGCCAGCGAAGGCAGCTACTGATAAAAGTTTGCAACCTGTTGGAAATCCTTTTCTTGACACGCAGTGCAAGTTTTTGACCCGTAAAGAAGGACCGACTTCACATTGGTGTTGGAAATCCGAATCATGTTCCTTATGCCGACTGAGCGCAGAAGATTTCCAAACTGGTTTCAGATTGATGAAGGCGTATCTTGCCTTTCCGATTCTGGCTGGCTGGCTTTGACATCTTCGTCCGTTCCGTCTGTAGTTGAAACGATGCTTCCCAGATAAGTGAAGGAGGCAACCTTTGTTAAATCTCTCCCGTTGATGGTGATTGGTGTTGGTTGTAGTTGTTGCGGTCCGTTGGTTATCTTCATCACCTCCGTCTTCTCTGTGTTCACCTGGAGTCCTGTTTTCTCTGCCTCTTCTTTGGTTTTTGCTTACAAGTCTTTGAGTTAGGACTCTAGGTAGTAGCTAATGTCATGTCGACTTCCTCCAACCATCTAGTAACAGTTTAAAAGTCTTGAGGAAGATTTTTCAACCAGTATATGTTTCATACGTGTGTATCGTTTTATCGGTTGCTAAAAATTACCAGTCAGCCTGTACAAGGTGTTTTTATTTAAACCCACACTTATTTAGCGCTAAATACTGACAATAAAGCTGACTTGGTCAAACATTTTTTGTTTCAAACTGGTTAGCTGTGACTACATGAAGCATATGATGTCGATATTGAGGTTGTATGTGTGTGAGGCTGATAGAACTGCCTGCACAGATCTCCGCATGGTTTTTGAGTGTCATGTATTATTCTATTGTTTTTTCCATGATACTTGCTTAGTTTTGTTCTAAACGTCTAAAGTCAAATGCATTATGAGTTTTAAACTTTTAACTAAAACTTTTAAATATCCTTCATTAGGAGAATTTTGAATCATCACAACCTACGGATTCAAATTCAGCAGAGAAAAAGATTTCCTTCTCTCAACCGTCTCCTAATTCGGTGGATTTCTCAGCGGCTACAGATTATCATCCTACACCGTCTACATCACATGCTAAAATTCCACCAGTACAAACTGATAAAGATAAATTTCGAACACTTCAGCCTACAGATGGTCGACGCAGTATGAATGCAAATCGTTTCCATGGAAGTGCTCATAATTTAAAAGAAAGTTTTTCACGTCTCATGGAAAGATTAGGTATGTTTTCTGATTTCATAATTAGCTTTACTATCTGTTGAAGTTCCCTATTCATGTCTTGTTCTTAAAGAAGTTTTAATTTCATAGCTTTGTTTGTGAACTGTTAATCATTCTGAATACTTAAGAATTATTTTAGTAATAATTACAAGCGACTTGGAATTTTGAAGGAAGTTACTATTAACTGTACCTACGGTGAAGAAGTTTCATTTATGTTACCGTTTTATCCTAAGTCATTTTGTCTGTCTGTTTTCGACATAGAACTTTGCACTGATGTGTAGCAGTTCAAGTCGCCACACTCCATGTAGCACACAAAGCAAGAGAAGAAAGTAAAAAGTAAATAAATATCATTTGTGTGACAAATGTGCTAGTTAGAAATCGATTACAAAATATTGTGAAATGGGAGACAATGGTGGTGGTGATTAGTCATAACAGATTCGTAGAATGTGGGGTAGGAAAAATTGAAAAGTCGGTTCCCAGTGGAACATAGGGCTTCAAGCTAGAGACTTGGAGTTTCTGTAGCAATGTTTATTTTTACAGGCTAGCAACCCCTAGCCTCATGCCCAACCTTTACTCTTTACCAGCTTTATTACTGGCTTAGCGAGGTAAAGGAGCGCGTCTGTGGCCGGGGATCGAATGCCGGACCATGTGCATGGTCGGTGAGCGTCCTAACCGTTGTGCCACTGACGCCAGTCCGTTGGAGGTTATAAAAGGTGTCAGGTGAGTGAGTGATTGAGTGAGTGACTAGTACAAAGTAGTATGTATTAAAGAGGCGATAGTAGTGAGACTGCAATGAGTAGAGTTCATCATGAAATAACCACTATGTGAATGAAATGAAATAGGCGGAGCTCTATATTGACAAAAGAGATAATATCACTAATAATAATAATAATTCCGGATTCATTATAATAAAGGTTTTTTGTATTTCCCAATAAATGAAAAAAAACGATGTTGTTTATTATTGACGTTTCGCTATTTAATGCTAATAGCTTTATCAAAATATTATTAAACCAGAGTTTACAAAATCTCAGCTTATATATAATTCTGGATAGTATAAATGGGAAATTCGATTGTATTGAGAGCATGTTTGAATGAAGGGTATAAATTACAATGCATAATAATAACAATAATTGTGATAAAAAGCAAAACAAAAGAAAAAAAATCAAAAAAGGACAAGGAGAAGGGGCACTCTCAGTGAGAAGAAGAATCATTAATCCAAGTTTGTCCTCAGTAGGAACAGAGTATGAACGCTCGCCGACCATGCACATGGTCCGGGGTTCGATCCCCGGCCGACGACGCACTCCTTCACCTCGTTGAGCCAGAAATAATGCTGGTAAAGAGGGAAGGTTGGGCATGAGTCTAGCAACCCCATCCTGTAAAATAAACACTGCTACATAAACTTCAAGCCACTCGCTTGAAGCCCTATGTTCCACTGGGGAACGTGAAGAAAAAAAATGCATTTAATTTCCCTCCTTACTGGTGAACCAAGCTGGTGAATGTTTTCGAACTCATAGACGAACCTGCCTAATCGTACACTGTAAATAACTTGAACCACAGGAACAGCTGAATTTACCATAGCTAACAAAAATTCTGACTTGTGTCGGTCGAGTAATGTCTGTTTTATGCTGGATCCTAAATTTAAATGCCATTGTTCAACTAGAAAGTTATTTTAAAAAAAGTCAGGCACATTAGAATATACAAATGTTGGTTACAGTTACTTTTAATAATGAACTTCATGACCATTGGGTGTATGTGTGGTTACATCTAAACGAGTTCATGTGTATTTTTTCACATAGGCTATATTCATAAAATAGCCTGTTATTGTTATAGTTGAACAATAATTTTACTAGATAAAAATAATGCTAATATTAATACCATATATTACAATTGTGTTTGTCAATTAATTGTGTATGTAGCGTATGTGTTTACTTATGTGTGATATTTGTGTATTATTTGTGTCATGTTTACTATGTGAATTAGTAGAAATATTATATTAAACTGAAAGTAAACGGCATGTAGCTAAGTTATTCATTTGTTAAAAGACCTAGGATTATGAGTATACTTATTATTTGGATACACATTTATTCAAATGTGTAATTTGAATAACTTAGCAATATATTATACGGTTTACTTTCAGCTGAATGTCATATGCTATACAGTGCTCGTGTGTGTGTGTACTTGGTTAGGTTACGGCTGTAATTGAATTCGCATGTAAATAACCTATAGAGAGAGTTAGTAAAAACAACATATCTTGGTCATGAGAAAAAGAACAACTAAAGATAGGTCTCATACCTTATAGTGTTTGAATCGTCTACTCACAAAGTATAATGGTATCTTAGGTTGTACATTATAACGTAATTAACGTCCATGCGTCTTAGTCTTTCGTTTGATATAGACTGAATTCTATCAGTGAAGTTTGAAATGCGGTCACGATGCTAGTCGATTCGCCATCATTGGTATACTCGAAATTGTTGTTAGATGGTTGGGGACAATCAGCAGGAAGCCTCGAACCTAGGTCTCGTGTTTGTTAGCACTCGTCAGAAAGGCGTATCTGCAGTCCTATTTCAATTCGTTAGTTGTTGAGTAATATGTTTCGTAGTAAATTAAAATGTTTTTTTAAAAAAATTTTCGGTTACGATAATGTTTATACTTTTATGTAATGGTTTTATGTTCCGTAGACTTTTATGTATAACCTTTTTTGTACATTCGCTTGCGTTTCGAGTGGAACACAGAGTTTCAAGCTTTAAAGTTGCAGTACCAGTGGTGTTTTGGTTGTCGAAGGGGGCTAGGGTTACTAGCTTCCCTTCTTTCCTGGGCTTACTACTGAGTGGTAGAAAAAAGGGGAATTTAAGGGTTGTGTCTATCGGGAATCGAAATCGAACCGAGTGATTAGTTGGCGAGCATTCTACCATTGAACCACCGACTAACAATATCTGATTTAAAACACCGAAGCATCAACCTATAGTATTTCTTCATGGGAATACTTTCATTGTTCGGTTATTATTTCATTTTTTAACATTTGAGTATTTAAATACTCTAACCAGTTAAATTCGATAAGGGTATTGTGCGTTTGTAGCTCAGCGGTAGAATGCTCACCAACTACTCAGATGGTCCAGGGTTCGATCCCTGGCCGACTTGCTCCTTTAACTTCCTAAACCGGTCATAAGACTGGTGAAGAGAGAAGGTTGGACATGATACTAGCAACCCCACTCCGTAAAGATAATCATCGCTGCTACTAAAACTTCAAAGCTGAAGCTTGAAACTAAATGTTCCACTGCGAACGTGAAAGAATATAATATATTTAAAGTGGTGATCTACCAGTTCCCCTTTTCTCTAGATTCTTAACAGCGTATTTAATGCAAGCCATTAAGAGTATCTATCAGAAGACAACATGGTGCTGTCAAACTGGTTTCCCAGAGAATCAACTCTTAACACCTACTAGTACCATCATTTATGTATATGGTCTGGAGTTCGATTCCCAGCCGGTGTACACCTTTACCTCCATTTGCTGGTTGTAAGCCCGATAAAGAAAAGATGGTGAGCCTGAGGCTAGCAACCTTATCCCGTTTAAAACACCCCTGCTACTGAAACTTCGAAACTGAAGCTTGAAGCCCTGTGTTCCACTCGGAACTGAAGGGAATAAAAGTACATCCAAGCATCAGTTCGCTTCGTTTTCACTTCATATAGTGTAATGTCTAAACTGATTGAAAGATTTCGATTAGTTTTAGATAAATGCTGTCTAGATTTGCCACCATATCCAGTCAGTTACTTAAAGTGTGTTCTATTTTGCATGTTACCTTCTTACCTTCTTCTTCGTCTGAAGATTTCCCCTTGATCCTTAAGTACCTTTGAGAGATGAAAGAATGGTCATTTACAGGATTTCGAATATTGCCAAGTTAAAACCTGTGCAACTTTGTGTGCCTTTTTTTCACAAAATATTTCCATCATATTTTCTCTTTAACTGAAAGTATTTTATTTCTTCTCTTTTCAGATATTATGACTAAACGTCAACGGATATCAACAAATCCAAGTTTCGAAAAACAAAATGGAATTTCAGGAGCATGTCACTACAATGATTGTCAGTCTAATCTTGTATGTCAATTGTGTGATGAATGTTATGTGTTATGTGTTTTGAAGGATTATTTTGCCACCATATTTGTTTTGTTATGTTGCTGTCTTTCTATATACTTTCTGACTATTTCTAATATCGTGCTGTATACACGAAGTGACCATGTGTTTATCATTCGTTGCTGCATTTATTATGTTGCTCTGTGGATTTTCGACTTGCATTCGCTTGTGTTCCAAGTGGAACATAGGAATTCAACAGTACATCTCCATTTTATCCTGTTCTCTAAAGCCCTCCTTATCTGGCTTAACAATTTATCGCCGACTTTCATCTCTTCCTCACACGATCTTCTCAATCTCACCCTTGGCTGCCTAACTCCTCGATTCACATTTAGGTCTCATTCGATTTCCTGCCTGGTGTATGATGCCACTCAACGGTCTTCTCAGCATTTGTCCAATTCATCTCCATATCCTTAGGCATATTTGTTGGGCGATGGGTACTTGATTGGTCCGTTGCCTGCCAAAGTTTCTTTTTGCGTGTCCTTTTTAGCTCTACGCTTTTTAGTATGGGACAGAGGCATCTGATGGTAAATGTCCGCAGTAGCTTGTTGGAAATGCTTATCGTGGCTCTGAACTATACAGAAGCACAGACTTGACATTAGTGTTGTTCCTTATGCTGACTTCAGCAGATTTCCAGAGTGATTTCAGAATAATAAATACCCGTCTTGTTTTTCCGATCCTGGTTTTGATATCCTCATCCTTGTTGCCTGCAGCTGAGACGATGCTGCTCAAATAGGTGAAAGAAGTAACCTCGTTGAAATTTCTTTCGTGGGTAGTGTGATTGGTGCTTGTTGTTGTTGTTATTGGTTGGTTATCTTCATCACCTCTGTCTTCTCTATGTTCACTTGAAGTTTTGTCTTCGCTGGTTCTTCTGCCAATATGTCTGTTTTTGCCTGTGGGCCTTCGAGTGTGGAGAAGGAATCATCAAAGTCCGGAACATCTTCACTAGTATTCGCATTAAATTATTCTGTCTCTTTCACACACATGCTTATTCATTATGGCTTCCTTCAAATTTCGTATTCTTGTTTCTATGGTGTTCGCAGTGCGTGCCAAGGTGAATTGATTCATTTTTATACAAATCCTTAAATTAATGATATGTTTATCTGCTTATTGACTTCGCATTTTCTTCATTCTATTGTGTTCTGAGTGGAATATAGGACTTCAAGCTTCAGCTTTGAAGTTTCAGCAGCAATGGTGTTTATTTCTTACGGAGTGAGATTCCTAGCCTCACGTATAATCTTTCTTCTTTGTGGGTCTTACTACTGTCTGTGCGAGGCTTAGGATTGAATCGGTCGGGAGTCGAACCCCGGACCAATATTGGTGTTTGGCGAATATTCTACTAGTGAACCATCGAAGCATTGTATGAACACATTATTTTCTCTAATAATATTATTGAACAGGATAGATAACATACTGTAGGGTTTTCGTCACGCATTCGATTTCTTAATAATATATTCTACAAATAGGCAATTTTTAAAGCTCTTTTATCCCAGTAACTACAAATGGTACCCATAATACTTTGACTACTTAGATATGTTTGGTTGTTTCTGATTTTGTTACCTAAAATCATGAACATTTGAAAGGTTGCTTTGTAATTGATCTGTGTTAATGAATTAACTTTTTTATGTAGACCGGGTAATACCCTATTAACTGAATGTAAATCCAATAATGTCTGAAATGGGGGATACACACTCACACTTCAACGTATATTTTCTTTATGAGATTATAGTTGTGTAAAAGTATATTCTCTCATGATTCAAATCACCCAGGCTTATTGTACATGTGTATTACAGTTCATGTTATCGTGAAAGTCACGGATAATTGAACCATATAATTACATTTTCAAAAGTTGATTTGTTTTTCCAGTTTGACCACGGATTAATATCAGTTAGAGGACCATTGAAAACCAACAAGGAGTACTTACTGAACAGCTGGTTTATCCTAGTTTGGGAATCATCGGCAGTACGCACCCACTGACAGTGTTCGAGCCCAGGACCTTCCGGCTACAAGATATGCTTGTCGATCATTCAGCCACTGGAGAACCGACTCAATCACCTATGAATTCTAACATTTACTAATTTATGGCTTTGGCGCGACCACTAGTCAAATTCTTGAAAATTAATGTGATTGGCGACAGGACGGAGTTTTCTGGAGTTTCAATGAAAAATTGTCAGCAGTGTGGATTCCATCCTATCAGGAGTGAGGACCAATGCTCACCGATGACATTGGCTAGTGCTCGCGCTAAAATTGCAGATTGGTAGAGGTTAGAACCCATCGGCCATTGAGTCAGGTCCCATTGACTGAATAGTCTACGAGTTTGCCATATAATTAAACACCTTTTTATACTAGAGGCATAAGATTTTGTGATTTAGGCAAATATAATTCGAAAAATTCAATCAATTATTTTTTTTACGAACTATTTGACTGAATATTGATCAGTTGACACTTATCGATTCCATGGTTTTATTAATCGATTCATGGATAGTAACAATATGATGAAGTGATACTTGAAGTAAATAAGTTTTGGTCACGGATTGATATCAGTTAGAGAAGCACTAAACCACTGGACAGCTGTTACGTCATAGTCTGGTACTCTACGGCATTACACACCCACCGGGGTTCGAATCCAAGCGTACTGCCCATGCGTCCGAAACTAGGACAAACAGATATCCAGTACTCCTTGGTTTTTAATGGCTCTCTAACTCATATCAGTCTGTGGTGTTAAACCTGAAACAAACGAAATCTCTACAAACTCACTCTTGAAAACTTCAAGGTATATTGAAAATTAACTAGTGTTTAAACAGTGGTATCTTTAAACTGATGCTCTTAGGATAAAATAACTGTCTGATTTATGTGTTTTCCCACGTTTCTTTAGCTGATGTGAAACCACTTTGATAAATATTAATTTTGTTGGTTATTGCTCTTGACTTTTTAGTTTTAAACTGTGTATACTTCATGTTACACCTCAAAGTCCATGACAGTGTGCCATAATGATGCGAACGTTGCGTCTTTAATCTGATTAGTTTATAGCATGTAGTATATTTAATCAAAGGAGACATTCAGGTGGGATTCCATCCAGACCGTTGAGTGGAACCCGCACAGAAAGCGATGAATAAGGAGCCCGATAGGGACATGGAGGAGATCATGTGTAGAAAAAATGGAAGCTTGTGGTTAGCCAGGTAAGAGTTGACTACAGAGGACTGTCTACAATGATGATTTTTGTGCAAGGAACGAATAACAGTGATAATATTAGGGTAAGGATCGTTGAAGATTCAGTAAAGTCCCACTTGTTTCCTTTTTTTCTGCAATTCTGAGCTAAATAATTATCACTGCTTCAACCAAGTACAGGTTTTCAGGATGCAAAATTTTAGTCTGCATTTCATTTTATTTCATAATCTTTATGATCGCTGTGGTCAATCATTAGGTAATAACTAGTGCCATGCGTTCAGTTCTTGGTTTGGTGCAGGATGAACTCTATCAGTCAAGTTCACAATTTCGTTACCATGCTAGGTGCCTCCCCATCGGGGTGCAGTTTGAATTGATGTTAGACGGTTGGAGGCAATCGCCAGGAAGCCCAGACTGACTTAGGTTTCGTGTTTGCTGTCATTTGTCAGAAAGACTTATCTGCAGTCCTGAAGGAACTCATGTCCGCTCTGAGATTCGAACTGGTATCACCCAGTGCTGTAGTCAGAGACATTGTCACATCGCAAATGTCACCGATAGAATTCAGTCTTACTTTACTTTACTTCGGCTATCTCCTACGGGAGGATGAGCCGGCTTCATGAACATCAGAGTTCATGAAGTTTCATGGGAATTTGGTACGAGTGATGTCCCCAGAATCGCTCGGCCTTTTGTTTGAGAGTGCAGCTCTAGCCTTTACACAACCAAGTGTGACCTACAAGGCAGTAGGAGTGGAGTAGGGAGTCCACTATCCATTGGCAGCCGGTGACCGGAGTTCGGTTCATACGCCTTTTTGAATGGGGCCAGACATCCAGGACATCCAACAAGCCCTTTGTCCATACGTCTGCCGGTGAGCTCCAGTGAGCTTCATACGCCAGTCGTTGGAGGTTTGAAATCAGTCTGCATCAAACCGAGGACTAGACGCATGATATGATTTACTGCTCAGTGACCAGTCTGAGTATTCATAACTGTCTTACAGGAAGGTAATTCCAAATCTGAATAGCTCTGTAACCACGCCTTTGACGTTTGTTCAAATCTCAGAGGGGACATGAATTCCTTCGGCATTGCAGATATTCTTTTCTGATTAATGCCAACGAACACAAAACCCACTCTACGGCTTCCTGCCCATTTAAAATCTTTATGATTCTACCCATAAAAAAAACATATGATATTATTACTCTGCAGCTTTTGTTCCCATTACTATCTACTTTCTCTGAAAGTGAATATTTTATCAAGCATATTTATCGATCCATGTATCTTTGTTTATGGATGCATTACAAAATATGCTAATTAAACAATGATTTGTTTATCATGTAATCTACCGTTATCTATTCCATTGGACTCCAAAGTGTTCAGAGTTATATATTTGTATATATACATATTTCCTGTTTGTTAATTAGTTATTCATTTGTTTTCGGATAAGTCAGACAAACAATCTAATTTGTTTCTACATCCAATGTTACATAACACATTTCCGCAGTCATGCAGTTTTTTAGTTCTGAAACTAATTAGCATATATCACATAAAAGCATCGGAATGGTAGTGTAGCGTAACGTTTAAATGCTTATCTAGTTTTGTTTACGAATATATATAGAAATAATCAAATTTTGGTTTGCAGGGATTTGGTTAGTTACCGGTTTGATCACGATCTCACATGGGTTAGAGAACCCTGGGGAAACTAAGGAGTGCTTGACAATAGGATGTACTCACTAGGGTTTAAACTCTCAGGAGCTTCCGGTTATAAGAAGAGCTCGTTGACCATTTTCTAACCACTGCGATCTGATCAAAAAGCCCATGTATTCCAATTTCTGCCAATTCGCAATTAATATAGCACAACCGCCAGCCATTGTCATAGGTTGGTGAGTGGGGAGTATCAAACTGAGACGAAACAGCTATTCAGAACTTCCCGTTTTTCAAATAGTTCCCTAACATACAGGTCATTAACAAAAACGCTGAAGTACTGGGAACGTTCACTAACTGTTTTATCATAGTTCTGTTTTGTAAGGATCATCATCTCTCACTACGAGCAGTTTTCCATTCATTCGGTCAGTAGGTCTAATCATTTGTAGGTTTAAATCTTCACCAATCCACGTCATATTATCTTCTCATTGCTGTGTATTACCATGGCAGAATAACTGCCCCTACATTCACTTTGGTTGACGTCACTATTGTTGTTGGTATTGGCTGTATCTAACCAGAACGTCGAGAATCACATTGTGAAGGTTGTCATAAATCATGAAGATGTGCTGGTTAGTTAAGACGTGTGTAAAGAGTCAACTGGTTTCAACATTTCATTCAAAGGTATATAGACTACGGTTAGTCAAAGGATTTGTTATAACAACTGTTATTCAGATGATGAAACCTACAATGATAGTTCTGTGAAAGTCTTTATGTCCGGATGGATGAGTCAGAGTTTGATGTTTTATCAGCTTAGGATTACTTGTGGATTGGTGAGGTGTTCAAGTGTTTAGTATCAATCTGTGTTCACTACTAAACTGTATTCTCTTTCGCACCATACGAATAAATCATTTGTTTTCAAGGTAGTGAATTCAGAGATGCTTCTTGTCCTTCATCATCGTTATTTTTTGAATCACTCAATGATTAAGTAACTTTATATGTGGCATAGTAAGTAACCCCTAGTGTATTATTATTAAGTTTTTGGGTTCTTTGTAATATTTGCAACCATGATAAAATCTTAACTTAGTTGTGCTACGATTGAATTATCAAGAGCAAAATGAAAGGCGGAACTACCTCAAGGTATAGTATCAGCCTATGTATATTCTCTGCCTCTCGATGTAATTCATACACAGCTTAGAGGCAACCCGAAGGCAACGCATCATCATCGAACGAAGCATGAAATGTCAATCAAACCTCTACCTCAACTTCCTTCATAGACTTTGAGAAGGCCTTCAACAGAGTTCACCATGAAGTAATTTGGAGACTACTCGAGTACTACGGCGTACTCCAAATATTCATCAACCTTATTCAACAGCTGTACGACAACGGCACATGTCAAGTGATCCACAACGGAAAACTCAGCAAGTCGTTTGGAGTAAACACAGGAGTCAGACAAGGGTGTTTATTATCACCAATGATATTCCTAATTGTGGTGGACTGGATTATGCGTCAGACGGTGGGAAACGAGAAGACAGGGATATCCTGGACCGACATGAAGAACCTAGAAGACCTGGATTTCGCGCGTGGATGACTCATGTTTGATGTCACACAAAATCGAAGACTCACAAGCGAAAACAGACGAAACTGGTCGAAGAAGCAGCAAACACAGGACTCCAGGTGAACATAGACAAGACGGAGGTTATGAAAATAACCAACCAACCAACAACAACAACAACAGCAACATCCAGCGCCAATCACCATCAACGAGAGGGATTTGAAAGAGGTTACTTCATTCACTTAACTAGGGAGCATTGTCTCAACTACAGGAGGAACGGACGAGGATGTCAAATCGAGAATCGGGAAGGCGAGAAACACATTCATCAACCTGAAACCAATCTGGAAATCTTCGTCACTCAGCATCAACAACAAAATTCGGATTTTCAATACAAACGTCAAGTCAGTCAGTTCTTCTATACGGATCAGAAACTTGGCGGGTCACAAAGAATATTTCCAACAGCCTGTTGCAGACCTTTATCAACAACTGTCTTCGCTCTATACTGAAGATCAGATGGCCGGAAAGAGTCACCAACAAGAAACTATGGGAACAAGGAAAACAAGAACCAATCGCCCAACAAATATGCAGGAGAAAGTGGAGATGGATTCGGACACCCGCTGAGGAGGCCGCTGGGTGACATCGCGCATCAGGCCATAGCTCGAGTGGAACCCGAAAGGGAAGCGACGAGTGTGACATGGAGGAGATCGTGTGAAGAGGAGTTGAAACAGGATGGTGCAGGTGAAAAGTACAGCAGAAGACAGAAGCGAGTGGAGACGTGCAGTTGAAGCCATATGTCTCACTAGGAACCCAAGGGAACAATAATAAATAATTAGAGGCAACCAGAACAAATGCTTGCAGACCTTATTATGTAGTACTAAGTTAATTTGTAGCGTTTAGTTAGTTGTATACGGCCTAAGATCTTGCAGCATATATATATTCTTTTTTTAAGTATTGGTTTTGTAGGGATTTTTTTGATTGCATGGAGGATTTCATTCGTTTCACTGTTTACTGATCCAATGTGGCAACATAGGCTAGTATGCAGTTATTCTAATGTTCACTGGTCGGTCATACTGTTCTCAGTTGTCTAGCTAACTGGGCACTTTGTTCAACAATCATGGGGATATCAGAGTAGAATTTGACCACTGTGGAAGAATTCAATTCCATATTAGTTAAGTTTATTTGGCACAAAACACACAGTGATACAGTATTAATAACAGGATGATGATGTTTCGAGCATAATTTATTGCTCATTAGCATATCAGTGTATTCCGACAACTTCCTGACTTGCTATATATGACCTAGTAGTTTGACCTATGAAATTGACCTTAGAGTTATTATATACCAATTGGTAAATTATATTATTTTTTCCTAATTGGATCTAACAGAGGTCCTTAGGCCAATATAGTTTGTGCTAAAGTGAGCTGGCTGCTTTAAATGCTAACCTAATTCCAACCTTATTAAGAACCCTGATTAGGGTCTCTGATGATCTTTCTTTTTATGACAGTACCAAATAATAAGGAATTCAAAGACTCTCGATAGTTGCATTTATCTATCCATTTGTTCAGTCAACTGTAGGTCAATTTGTATATACCATTCTTGGTGTAAGAAAATGTTTTATAGACTTTTTTGTCAATCCTTTTTTTAGATTTTCATTTTTGTTAAACATACTTTTTAGAGTTTACTGTATTGTCTTCATTGGTATTGTTTTTTTACAATTTTCTCTCTTCTAAGTATACACTACTTCCAGATTTAATGGAATCAGTTACTATGGCCTCAGGAGGATATGGACAGAATCAGTCGTCTGTAATTATGTCCTCGCCTGCTTTGTTACGAAATTGTAAAACACTGTCGAATACAACCAATAAACAAGTTACTACTGGGGCAAACAATTCATCTCAGCCATCTGACGACAACATTATTAAGAAAGGTAGGTAATACTTTATGACGTGATGAAATTTCCTTCTTTTAAAAAAAAAACCCACTCTCTGTTTTTTGCGTGGTTTTTTCTTTTCCTAACTAAAATGTCTAAACTGACACTGTCATAATGAAGTATCTTGTTTGTGAATATATGTGAATTATAATCATGGTTATCATATTCTAAGAAGGAATAGAAGATGACATTGGAAATGTAAAGCTTACAAATCATCACACTATATACTACTGATAGATTGAGATCAGTAGTTAGTTGCATACCACTTACATCTGTCAACCAACTAGCCAAATCAAAGTGATCTAAACATACCGGGTGGCCGTTTTGCTCGTTTGAGGTCGAGCTCATCATCGGTGTACAGGGTTTGACTCAGCTCAGACAACCGAATCTGTTCAGACCACCTTACTCTTCTTTCAACAGTCACATTTTCGTCACAAACCAACATAAGTTAGAAATATCAATGAAAACCAGGGAGAGCTGAAAAGCTGTTTCATTCCTTTTTAGGGCTCTTCATCAGTGCGCACCCGCGATCCCGCTAGGAATCGGACCTAGGAACTTCAGGTTAGGTGACCGAGGCCCCCCCGGGACCATTCAGTCGCTGGGATTCAGTGACCCGTGGATTCTGATTTTGTCAACTCGTGATACAGCGCTACCCTCACCGATGTCTTCAACGAGCAACGACTTCATCCCAAAAATCCTTTAATCTGAATAGTAATCGCCAGCTCACTGAATACAGCTACTGGATGAATTTCCTGAAACCTCAGTGGGAAGTCGTGACCAGTGGAGTCCACCATGTCAAGGTGAAGTGAACGATTATTGGAGGCATTGGCAAGGGCAGCGTTGTATCACAGAATAAAATGACAGAATAAAAATTCACGGGTAACTGAATTCCAGCCCAAATGGCTGAATAGTCAACGAGTTTGGTGTCGTAAGCTAAGGATCCCGGGTTCGATGATCTCTGGTGAAGTCGTGGGTGCGCACTGTTGAGGAGTCCTAGGATAGCACGAGACAGCTGCCCAGTGCTCATTGGTTTTCGGTTATCTCTGTAACTGATGTTAGTTCGTGACAAAAGTGAAATTAATCCAAAATCTCCACAAATCCAATAACATTTTGAACACCTGATTTCTGCCCAACTGCAAATTATCTTTGAACTATTTATGCCGTAAATTACAAGTTCGTGATATTTTGTTTTAACGAGATTCAGCAAATAGTTGTAGTTGTTTTACTGTCCATATCAACATCCATGATGTAGAAATTTGCACAATCTTCAATAAACGGAATAGCGTAACAACTTATAACTTTACACGAAATGTGTTCACTTCAAGGTACCACCCGCGAAATAAAGGAACGTAATGCGTAATGAAACTTTATCTGAACGAAAAGTGTGTGGTAGACAGAATAATTAGATGACAGTTAGTGAAATATTTTAGAAGGTGGAAGATGGCCGATAGCCTATATATGTCGTCTAACCTTACACTCTACATCTGGCTGGCTCTATTATAGTATATCATGTTCTGCTGTTTAACACCAGCAAGAGAAAACAAAGACTTCATGCTTCAAAATCTCATCTCTTCAGGTCTTCCATCTTTAGAGACGGCAAGGTTGAATGGAGAGATTTTCGGCACAGTGCACAGTCTCTTTGTTCAATAGGTAGGTATCCGGTATGCACTAAAGATGATGCAAGCCGGTAAAAGCAAAAAGAGCCTTTTGTATCGGCGTTGTGGTTTCATCAGTAGTGAATCTTCTTTTGAAACTAGTGATATGATAAATTCATTGGCTTTGGAAACGATGAGTTGGGTGGGATGGATAAACCAACTCTGCAACATCATCTTGCTTTTGACCTCATGGTATTGAAAAGACTACATCATATGGTTACTGGAGATCATCAACAAGACTCTTGGTGGTAACAAGTTGATCCTCCTGAAGCATCGCAGTCGATTCTTATCCATTGGTAATTAAATTGAATAAGATTGATGATATTGTTGATTCCTGATTGACACCATCGGTAAATTAGAAATAATCGTATTATCAGTGAAGGAATATTGCGTGCTTCTCTATGGTTGTCTATGGCTGGTTGCTAACTTCTTATAGCTCACATTGATAGAGGAAAATCATTAGTGTTGGTTGACCATATAGCCGCGGAATTTCTTCTTAAGGCTGCGCACATATGACTCTTTCGGAAATCAAGTTTCTTAAGTTTCATCCTTACAGAAAATCGACAACCAGAACTTTCAAACTCTTAATAATAATAATAATAATAATAATAATTTGCTTTATTCCAAAACAGTATTTGTGATACAGAATGGAATTCTCAGCATTTTTACTACAGTATTGCATCCAGTTAGTACATTATCAATAAATAGAATTCTACATAGATTAAGGAAATCTCAGTTCATTATGACAACAACACATTGGCATGTCGGTAGCAAAGGTAAAGCTGAACAGTGTTTGAAGGTGTTAGAAAAGTAGGTGCTGTCATATTTACTGGCGTAAGCGAGAGAAAGAAACAAAGCAGCACATAACGGAAAAAAGAGAGAGAGAGAGAAAAGGAAAAGAAAGAAAGAAAATGTTGTACCTATAAATGATATGAGTTGGAAAGACGAGGTCCAGTTGTACTACTGACTATTTAATGAATTATAGGTGTCACGCCTAATGCTTTCTTTATCGCACAGAACACGAGCTAAGTAGGGTATGGTTGAGTTTTTGTACTTGCTGGTGCGAGCATATAGTTTTCTATATAGGCTTCTGGTTCTGCCTGATGAGATGCAAGGGGAGAGTTGTGAGTGAAGAGGGTGGTGTGAGTTAGATAAAATGGATTTGGCCCATTTTTCACATGAGTCCATGTGCCTGTCGACCAGAATATTAACAAGCTGGTTAAGTGGCACGTTGCTTACCCTGCTGACAACCTTTAACATCCTGCGTAATATGTTATAGTCTTTCTTCAGTAGCCCGGGAAAAACTAAGGGGGAACAATAGAGAATAATAGGCAGAATGCGAGAGTTAACGAATTGTAGGAGTAAGGGTTGGGTTATACCAGAATGTTTTAACTTCTTGATGTAGAAGGTAAGACGGAATATTTTCTTAGAAATCGCCAAGATATGAGACGACCAGGAGAGATCGGCAGATAGAATGACGCCTAGGTATTTAATTTCCGACTTGGTTTCTATTTCAGTGCCATCTATGTTGCATACCTCGTGAGAGCCAACCAGTTTGTTTAGGTCGGATTTATGCCTAAAGGTGAAATTGACTGTTTGTCATTTGGAGGGGTTTAAGGTAAGACCGTTTTCCTTGAACCATTGGCTGATTTCTGAGCTAGATTGGAAAAGTAGCCTAGCTAATTGGTTAGTTCTCAAAGTGAAGTATATATTACTGCTGTTAAATTTCAATCGACAGTAGGATTTCGCCCTGAGAACTCCACTATAAAGGGCACAACTCACCCCATATATTGCTGTCAGCCTTTAGTCTTACTCCAATCTAGTTTACCATCTTGGTACTGTAATCCAAACAGGAACATTCTTTCCAATCAGCGATGTACAGGTGCGGGGTACAAACGTTTCTCATTTCATTAATAGTAGCAAAATAGCACGGTTTATTTGAATTCTTAACTTTTCTATCCTTTTATTTTCTTTTTCGAAAATAATTAGAAGAAACTGTCGATGAAATGATGGAACGTTATCGTCGACAAACATTCAATATCAATACAACATCAAATTCAATATCTAATTCTACTTACAATGAATATTATAATTCTATTCCAAGTACTTCGAAATCCCGTTTGCCTAAGAAGAATAAGCATAAAATTGAAGATACTGAAGATATAAGGAATAAAAATATTCCCTCTAAGGCTTTGCTATCATCTGCACCATCGTCTTCATCCTCTTCGAACTCGTCGTCGGCTTCTTCGTCATCATCTTGTGCATCTTTCTCCTCTTCTACCGGTGTACATACCCATAGATCAATTCCTCAGTTATTCAATTTAGCTCTACATGGATTACAAGAAATCTTTTCTAATTCAGCTTTAAGTATTATTGCTTTGAATACTATTCGGAAAATAAAGTTCACATGGAATTTAATCCGTGAACAACCATTATCTCAAGAAGTTAATATGACGGGTATATTTCATGAAAATCAAATTTTAATTTCTTTACTTAATTCTATACTGGCTGGATTGTATGTTACTCAGGTTAGTTAACTGGATTTTGACTTATTCATGTTATTTGTGTTATTTGTTTATTCATATAGGTCAAATTTTTTTTGTCTTTCATTCCTCTGGGTTCGGAGTAGAATATAGGGAGGGCTTCAAGTCTTAATCTTTGAAGTAAGGGGTGGTGGTGTTGTTCTTTTACCTGGTGAGGTTGATAGCCTCATGATGAAACTCTGCTCTTCTCTGGGCTTACTACCACCTAGGTGCGATGTTTACGAGTGTTATCGGTGGGGAATTGAGCCCTAATGTCTCACGTGGTTGGCGAGTGTTCTACCAGTTGTTGTAGTGCGTCGGTGGCACAGTGGTTAGGACTCTCGCCGACCATGCACATGGTCCGGGGTTCGATCCCCTGCCGACGCACACCCGATATCTGTGGTCGGCCTGCAAAATTTGGGCTACCGATATCCGTGCTGAAAATTCCATACTTGTACTGAAAATAGGGTGTGGCATCAAGCTGTAATCAAAATAAAAATCAAAAATAAAATAAAATACCACTGAACCACCGTTTTATAATGATAGCTTTATTCTAGAAAAATGCGTTTATACATAATACAGAGTTTTCAGCGAGTTCCATTACACAGGGTATTTACTCATTTGTGTAGAATCTTCAAATATGAATAAAGCAAGAACAACAGTGGTTTGTGCAGAATGATATGGTACCATCATTTATTGCGAGGAGATATCTGGTAATAGCGCTACCATAAGAGTTTGTTCTCTTGAGCTGTAGGCTCGAAACGGGTCATCAGGTGGAAATCGAGAAATCCTTTAAAAATATCAATAGACAAAGGAGCTCCATTCTCTTCGAGTTTGCCGAAGCAATTTCTATTAAACTCTTGAAACCAGATTTATGTGTTCAGAAAGAAACAGGCCGCTGTATGAAAAGACGTAGTATTCACACGCTTAAAAGATGTGATAAACTGATAGTGATGTTTGGTTTAGAAATTTAAAGTTGTCGTTTGTTGGTCTGAGTACTCAATTGTATATATTTGTAGCATTAGTTCGCAAGCTACACTTCACTTAAGGCGTTTTTAGTTAATCAATTTTTTATCAATATTCTTTGCACAATTATTGTGGCTTATTTATTACCTAATGTAGTTGATTATATAAAAATTTAAATTGTGTGTGTTCTGAAAGTAGAATCAACACAATGAGTAACATTTCTATGAGTTCATATAAATGATATATCTGGCAGAGAGATGAAAAGTGTCTAAAAATCAGTGGATATGTTTGAAGAAGAGGAAATCGACACTTCTAACAAACATTTACAGCAACATTTCCATCGAACTAGTGCAAACTTTCATCAAAAGCTATCTTCCCTCTATAGTGAATATCAAATAGCCGACCGGATAAAGGTTAAGCAATCAAGAACTTGTTGGCTAATAAATTTGCCAAATGATTGGATATATACACTGATGAGATTATCGAATGGCATCACTCGCTAGTCCAGCCCTTTTTAGTGGAACTCCGGATGAGGAACGACGAGTTGAACAACCAAGAGTGTACCATTTAGGAGAGATAGTGTTATGAGGAAGTGAAAGCCTGTAGAGGCAATCATGGAGATAGCTAATATTGACTTCAAGCAATAATAGGGGGAAATGGAGATGTGTTGCTGGATTCCTATGTTTCACTAGGAATCCAAGGGAATTATAATGTAATAATAATTATGACATACGAAAAATTAGACAGACAATTAGTGAAGAAATTATCCAATGGAAAGGAATTTAATGAGTTGAATTTAAGAACGTTTTCAGCATAAAGCGTAACTCTCGTTATATTATTATTCCCTTGGGTTCCGAGTGGAACATTAGGGCTTCAACAACACATCTCCATTATGTTCTATTTTCTGCCATCCTCTTCATCTGAGTTCACGATTGCCCATAATCTCTCATGTCCTGCCGATCACACGATCTACTCCATTCGAGCCTCGCACTGATGGCTCACTGGTCGCTTCCCATTGGGATTCCACTCGAGCAATGACCTGTATTGCGCGCGATGTCATTCGACGGCCTCCTCAGTGGCGTATGCCTGATCCATCTCCACTTTCTCATTATAGCCACATACATTTCAGTACGAAATAATATCGAATAATGGAATTCAACGGAAATTCGCTCAAAACACATGTTTTCTTATCACTATGAAGTGATTTCACTCCAAGTAGGAAAATTTATTGGTCGATGGAAGCCCAAAATCCGGTCATAGAAATAATATAAAAAGTCAGACTGAAGTACTTAAATAAGAATCGAAAGAAATCAATTCATGGTAGAAGGTTCACTGAATATTGGTATTGTGACGAATCAATACACTCACAGCACAAATATAATTTTCACGAGTTGGTTTGTAAGGATTAGATTTGTTTTTAGAGTTTGACCACTGATTGATATCAGTTAGAGAACCATTGATAACCAGCAACGAGTACTGGACAGCTGTTTTATCCTACTTTGGGATACACCGGCAGTACGCACCTACCGACAGGGTTCGAACCCAGGACCTTTCGGTTACAAGGCAAGCTGGCTCGTATACCATTCAGCTACTGGGACCCGATTCAATGGCTAGCAAATGAATTCTAACTTCTATCAATTCGTGATTTAGCGCGACCCCAACCAATGTCATCGGCGGGAAATCCATCCTCACACTTGACTGGTTTGACCTGACTGGTCACGACTTCTCACTAGAACTCCAGGAAATTATTGTATGAAGGATATTCATTAGGACTCTACTTAGGGAAAACATTTCCAATCGATATTACAAATTATTATAATTTGGTGACTAACACCCTGGTATTTAGGATGGCGAGTGTCACTGAAGACCGATAACAGCTAATATGTAGCTGATGAGAACCAAATAAGGAAAAAAGTGTGCTGTCAGTTTCACTATTAGTCATTACCACATGTGAAACAGACAGGTCTATTTTCTATTAATGCAAGGCATCTTAACAGTGAATATTCACTAAAACTATTCCTGAAACCGTTTGTCATTTGTGTTACTGTTGTTATTATTATAATATTTCAAATTAATAATTCACATTTTTCGATTGATCTTTCTCTATTTTAATCTTCAGCAAAATTCAACAATAGTTGATGTCCTCATAGAAACAAGAAATATTATACTGGAATTAAGCAATCGATTAGACATTCATAAGAATTCTGATCATAACTCATTACATTCGAATGTTGTAAAAAGTAATCCAGTCTCGGCAGGAGTAGTAGTTAATGGTTATTCATCGGAGAATGAATTCAACAATCGTGAAGATCAAAATGATTGGCAATTCACAACAGCTAATGATCAAACAACATCTTGTTCTCTTATTCAATGCTTAATATCTAGTCTTCGTCAATACCTTAGACAACGTCAAGTATATAGAGCTCATTTGATTAAAAGTCGTGAGCGATTGAATCAACTTAAATCGAATTTAGAGCTCTCAGTAAATTGGTAAGTGTACTTCTAATGTGTTTATCCATGTTTATGTTTATCCATATTAATCATGTATACATGTGAGTTGTGAATCGATTGGAAACTAGAGAGTACTGAGTATTTGCCCTGGTTCGGGACTCTTCAGCAGTAATCTGGGAATTGAACCCAGGAAGCGATCACGTAGAGCATTCAGCCACTGGGATGGAATCCAATGGTCTATGATTTCTAACTCCTATCAGTCTGCGGTTGGTAATGCTAACGCTAGCCAACGTCATTGGCGAGTATTTGTCCTCATGTCAAACCTGATTGACCCATCTGATCAGGACCTCCTAATAAAACTTCAGTTCTGTATTCAGTTGCTGGTGAGCATCAGATTAGTTTTCAAATATTAGTTGGTAGGGATTTGATTGGTTTGAAGTTTAACAGTTCTGTAAGTGATATCAATCCGAAAGGGAATTTCGCATTTTTCAAATTAATTTGCAATTTACACAGTTGGAGATCAGATTTCACCACAATTTCATTTGGAAACAGAAATTATCTGGATCAAAATATCTGATCTCTTTGATTCCATAAATGGTTATCAAGAGACCAGGCATAAATGCACAAAACTGTATACTGCTGATTGATACAGATGAATATGTTGTTGTATGTTGTTCATATCAGCCAGATCGGAATTACCTAACTGGTGGACGTCCGTTTCGGTCATTTAAGGCGGAGCCAATCAGCGATATACTCGGTTTGATTTAGCTCAGAAAGCCAAATCTGTTTGAACCACCCGATTTCCGACTGGCTACTAGGGTGAAAGGGGGTTGCCAGGCGGGTGGACTTATTTATTTATTTCCAGATTTCCAGATTGGTTTCAGGTTGATGAATGTGTTTCTCGCCTTCCCGATTCTCGATTTGACATCCTCGTCCGTTCCTCCTGTAGTTGAGACAATGCTCCCTAGATAAGTGAGTGAAGTAACCTCTTTCAAATCGGTCCCGTTGATGGTGATTGGCGCTGGATGTTGCTGCTGTTGTTGTTGGTTGGTTGGTTATTTTCATAACCTCCGTCTTGTCTATGTTCATCTGGAGTCCTGTCTTTGCTGCTTCTTCGACCATTTTGTCGGTTTTCGCTTGTAAGTCTTCAATTTTGTGTGACGTCAAACATAAATCATCCGCGAAATCCAGGTCTTCTAGGATCTTCATGTCGTTCCAGGATATCCCTGTCTTCTCGTTTCTCACTATCTGACGCATAATCAAGGGCGGGCGGACTAGTAATGCCATAAATCGATTTCGCCATTTGCAAATTGATTCTCAGTTTCCACAGTTCAAGGTGAGATTTCACCACAGTTTCCTTTGGATGTGTCACTCTGTGAATAAACTTCAAACCAGTCAAATCTCTACAAACTGACATTTACTTGAATAACTCTGTAATACTCCATAATTATAGGAAAGGATTTGTACTTCAGAAGTAAAATAAGGAATGTTATGATGTTCTGTAAGCTCTAATTCTTTATAAAGAAACAAATTCTTATACGAACATCTTATTTAGTAGTGAAACTGTCATAAGGAATCTGCTATGTTCAGAAACCACCTAACAATATTTAATAATAACGGGATGATGATATGCTTACTGTAATTGAGGAGAATTAAGTCGGGGAAAACACTCATACTTGCCGAATTAAAGTATGCATCAAATTTAATAGTCATTAATTGTTGTGTCAAATGAGTCGCTTACAGTAATTACGTGTCTGAAGTTCGTGTAGTGGTTAGTTTTTTTAATCGATGTACAAATATTCTTATTAGTTCATACTTTGTCCGTATCGTGAATGTGAAGTCATCTTCGATTCTTGTTAATGCCATCTTCTCTTTCCTTTGTCTTATAATGTTTTTATGAATAATCGCCATCTAAACATTAGTAATCAATAGATAGCAACTATAACAATAATAATGGCTCTATTCCAAAAGGTACATTTTATACAATTTGGAAGTCCCAGTATGTAGTACAATATTGGGCGAAGTTAAAGTGTCATAGCCAAAGTCAAGGTCTTTCAAAAGTTAACCTTCAAGAACCGATCAGACACACGGGATGCTATGAAAGATCATTCCAAATGAAAGCATGCCTGTCCTTTTGGACTTGGAGAGGATAGTTACAGTATTCTACCTATTTGATAGATAATTTTTCTGCAAATCTATACTGTTAGGTAGGATTATGGCCTATAAGAATAAGGTCTAGGGTCGAGGTTAGGATTAAGAGTTAGGATTGTAGTTAGAGTTAGGAATAGGTTGGGAAATAGTGCCAGAAATATCAATGCATCCCAAAGTACCATGAAATACAGTCACCTGGATGAATGGGCATATTCCGGATGGTACGATTTCTCTATAGATCACTTGTGTATTGACTGGGAGACATTCTTACAACACATAAGCGACAACTGTATTAGAATAATATCACGTTTGCAATGTTTTCTAGTGTATTTTTCAACGAATAAGCGATTTCTTTGCATCTGAATTCTGATTGGTTGTTCAAGGTCACCGTGTTTTTTTTGACGAGGGTGCTCAGTGTCCGACAAGATGATATTCACAGATTTTTTTACATGAGTTCAAGTGTCTGTCCACAACAGTAATAACGAGTTCGTTTGCCGATACCGCACTCGCCCTACTACGACAGGTAAAAAAATTCTTTCTCAAGTAGCCCAGGAGGGATTAAGAGGGGGCAATAAAGAAGGATAGGTAGAGCACAAGAATTAACAAACAGTAAAAGTAGAGACTAGGTAATTACCAGACTGTCTTAACTTCCTTACGTAGAAGACTAGACGAAATATCATTCTAGAGACTATTACGATTATTATATTATTATTATTCGCTTGGGTTCTGAGTAGAACGTAGAACTTCAACAACACATCTCCACTTTCCTCTATTTTCTGCTACCCTCTTCAGCTACCTAGCTCTACGATCGAACATAATCTCTTATCTCCTCCTAGCACTCTGTCTTCCATGTCACCCTTGAAAGACCTACTCGCCACTTCCCATTCGGATTCCACTCGAGCAATGGTCTGCATTGCGCGCGACGTCATATTCAGTGTATGCCCGATCCATCTCCATTTTCTCCTACATATTTGTTGAGCGATCGGCTCTTGGTTGATTTGTTGCCAGAGTTTCTCGTTGCTGATTCTTTCTGACCGGCTGTTAAATCTTCAGTATGTAGCCAGAGAAGGTAGCTGTTGACAAAAGTCTGCAACCTGTTGGAAATCTTTTTCGTAACTTGCTGGCCAAGTTTCTGACCGGTATAGAAGCACCGATTTCACATCCGTGTTGAAAATCCGAATCGTGTCCCTTTTGCTGACTGAATGAGTGCAGAAGATTTCCTAACTGGTTTTAGGTTGGTGAAGGCGTATCCTGCCTTTCCAAATCTGGCTGGCTGGCTGGCTTTCACATCCTCATCCGTTCCGAATGCCTGTGATTGAAACCGTGCTTCCTAGATAAGTAAAGGGGGCAACCTCTGTCAAATCTCTACCTTTGATGGTGATTTGTGCGATTACCAACATTTTGATTGGGAAGTAACAGGCATGGAAACAGTTAGACGATCGTCATACTCAACAGAATTGTCTCCATTAGGATGAGGCAAGTCATGTAAGAAGAAGTGACCCATGAAAAATAAAGGAGGAATTAACAAACTGTGAAAGTAGAGACTGAGAGACCGATACCAGATTGCCTTAACTGCCCTACATAGAAGGTTAAATGAAATATCTTTCTAGAAATTAACACAATATTGGAAGATCAACAAAGATCAGAGAAAGGATATAATCCGAGGTACTTAGTTTTTCAACCCCAGTGCTTTCTATGGTACAAGAATCAGTTCATGAATACCACTTTTATGTCTGAACGTTAAATACAAAAATCTGCCATTTAGTTATCTTGTGGTGAGAGCTGTCTACTAGCCAAATTGGTAGACAGTAATTTACGCCAATATTTACGTTCTCAAGATTTGTCGTGAGAAAATATGAACAAAGATTGATTTAAAACCGACCACAGCAGACTTTGCGTAGGCGGATACAGTTAACATATAGATGATGTGACATTCAAGAAACAGTCACAAAGAGATGAAAGATTAACTTTAAGTGAGAAACAACCAATCAGAAGACTGTGTGGTTTACTTAATTAAACTATAATAATGTAAATGAAAATATATAAATATGCTTTGATTTCCTTAATACACGATCTGTTGCCTGGCCTTTGTCTTCTGTTGTTACAATCTTACTACCATTCGACAAGGACTACTGACCAATTTTTGATCAAAAGGTATTCATTTTTGAACAGTCTGACTGAGACGTTACTCCGGCATCGAAACAATCATATGATTATGTCAAGTCAGTACTTCTATCATCATACTTTTTTGCGAAAGTCATACATATATGCGAATCTATAGCGCTGTAAAAAATGAATTCACCATAAAGAGCCTCTTGTTTTTGTTTTTATTATTTTTCTTCTCCATTGAAGACGACAATATTTTGTTTTTCTTTCTTTCCCATAAGACAACAAAAATTAAGTAGAGAACTTTTCTTTCGATAATTTTCTCATCTGGCACAAACAGTTATATGTGTACATAATGTTCAGGGCTATTTGTTATTGACAGCATTGATATTTGTTAAAAAGAATAATGCCTAGTTTTCACAATCGAAAGGATTATGCTCTTCTAAACTTGCTTGAATGATACCTACATATACATGCAAAGTGTATAATGCTAAGTTGAATATCAGATAAAAATTAAGAAGAAAATTTATGCGACAATTACAGTTAATTAAAACAAAAATATTATTAGTAATAATAACATCTTGTAAGATGCCTAGAGGGAAGAGGAAATTGTCTGTCAAATTTTTACAATCAAGTAATGATGGCCCTGACTGAAGCAGGGAAAGTGATTGTACGAACTTCTTTTTGAACACATACAATTGATAATTGTAGTGTAGCCAGATGAGGAGGTTTTCGAAAAGCAGAGTCTTTGCTCATCCTTTTTGTCTTTTATAAATAAATGTCTTAATTGAGATATTCTCTTTATTTCTTTCTTATATCTTTCTTCTTTGTTTTTTGTGAATGCAAGGTGTATGAATGAAAACTTGTAACGTTACGACTTGTATCTTCCTTTCAAATTAACATCTGTTTTGTTTTGATCAACACTCTTAGCGTGTTATTGTTCAGATTTCTTTTCAAGTAGCTGTTCGACCCTACAGTGGAATACATTAGAGATTATTCATGCTTCAGTTAGTTAATAGACATACGTTTGACGTTTTATAGATTTTTACAGAAGGTTTAATATATATATATATATATATCACTGGTGAATACTATTCAGGTCTGTAAGTACGGTATGTGCTTTGCGCCGTCTAAGTGGAAAGTACTGTTACAAGATTGGCAGGAGCCTGTACCTGCACTCACTTTTGCAGGTAAACTGCATGAAGTTGTCGATAAGTTTGTGTATCTCGTTAGTTGTGTGAGTGCTGGCGGAGGGGTGACGGATGAGATTCCCAACCGTATCATAAAAGGTAGGATGGCATACGTTATCCTTGCTGATACCTGTGGCTCCATCGCGACGTTAGTCTGGTTGTCAAAGTTCGGGTATACAATGCTTCGGTGCGTACTGTCTTGCTCTACACCTGTGAAACCTGGCTTCTCCGGGCTGAGTATGTGCGGTGGCTCTGCGTATTCGATCATCGCTGTCTCTGCAGGATTGCTTGCGTTCGATGGCATCGTCGCGTGAGTAATTCTGAGGTTCGGGGGCGTGTTTTTGGACACAATGGAGATCATCATTCACTGGAAACACTGGCTTTGTTGGCTTGGACATGTGCTGCGAATTTCATGCCAGAGGCTTCCCTACAGGTCTCTGTTCTCTAACCCTGGGAAGGGATGGAAAAGGCTGTGAGGCGGACAGCTCATGATGTGGCGTTGTGGGATGAAGGATATTTGCGCTATTCCCTGGTTGGAATTCGAGAGATTGGTCGAATCGGTGGCTCGAAACGTTATTGGATATGGTCAAGAATCGTAATCAATGGTGAACGTGCTGCAATTTCCTTCTTTCTTCCTTTCCCGACGATAGTTGACGAATGCTGTTTGAACTTGTTGAGTATGACTGTAATCCTTCCAGATGAAGTTCTTTATCTCTCCTCCACCTATATTTTGACTTTTGATCTATGTTGTTTCATTATTGTTGTGTTCCATACTGTGTCGAGTGCTTTGTGTTTAAATAAAATTGAAAAAAAATAAGAATTCAGGTTTGATGTAGATTACCAGTTAAGGAAGGCAGTTCAAATGATGAGGTTGTGAAGTTACATTGACTGAAATAACCAGGGCACTTACAACTCATTCTTATCCACTGCCTTCCTCGTGGAGAAATGCTAGCTGACAATAGATTGGAAGGGAGAAGAAGTGTTGAGATTAAAATATGTTATCAGTCCATCAGGTTTCTGGCTTTTGGCCT